TTTAGAAAACAAACACGAATGTACTAAGAGATCTCCTGAGAATGGTCGATGATTCCGTTTACATTAAAATACAACCTTGTGGATTTTAAGCAAAGATGGATAGTGACTAGCAGTGGAATCCAGGACGCGCGTTTCGTCCTGTTTGGGACTCGTCAGCTGGATGTACCTGCATCTCAGAGTTGATGTTCACTCTGGGACTCGAACTCAGTACCGTTCGCTTCAAACGCCATCGCGTTATCCACTTAGCTACTGAGTCCTGACAGCCACTTGCTTGTGCAATGGGTTGAAGTTTAATTCACTTGATATTGTTTTATTTGAATCATCCTATTGATGTTTTTTGGACTGAAATTGATCAGTCTCTTCAACTTCAACCCATTGCACAAGCAAGTGGCTATCAGGACTCAGTAGCTAAGTGGATAACGCGATGGCGTTTGAAGCGAACGGTACTGAGTTCAAGTCCCAGAGTGAACATCAACTCTGAGATGCAGGTACATCCAGCTGACGAGTCCCAAACAGGACGAAGCGCGCATCTTGTGGATTTTGTTTGCCGCACATTAATGGTTTGCCAAAGACACAAAAACAAGGTATCCCTCTTAGACCTATTCTGACAATGGTCAATTCACCATAACATCAGGTTGCATGATGGCTAACAGATAAGTTAAGACCGAAAAATCGGTAAGGACCAGGCACATATATTCATTGCTAAAAGTTGCCATACTTCATTAGCACAACAAGACGAACACCATATTCATAGAAGCAGTTACTTCAGTGGCAGTAATATATAAAAGAAAGATTGCATATAAGGACATAATACAGGGAGAACGAATTATTTAGTAGAAAGGTATAAAGTAATTTAATCTCATGTTTTAAGGGAAGACAAACAGTGTAAACACCAACATCTTTGTGATCGATTCTGAGCCATGTCATCCAGAGTATCCAACAATTGGAAACGATAGTCACGCGGACCCCAACCAAGTAGTCTGCATCTACCAACATGGCTTAGACTGGAAGTTAGTGGCTTCAAGCACTGATGCCACATTTTGGTTTGGCCGCCCCCGCGATTGACGAAGTGGTGTATTATTTGAGGTATGTTGAGGACACCTTCATTGTCTGTAATAATCCACAACATGCAACAAATCTGTGGAAACTTTTCAATGAAGCCCATAAAAATATCTAGTTTACTATGGAACATAAAAATGAAAACAAGTTCCATTTTCTCGATATCGCAATAAAACGAAGGAAGGATGGCACAGTTCAACGTCCAGTTTACAGGAAAGACACATGGAATGAGATTTATTTCTATTTCAATAGCTTTTGTCCAATCAGTTACAAAAAGGCACTTGTTAAAACACTATTACACAGAACAAAAAGTATATGTTCTGCCGATACGCTAGAATAGGAAAGAATAAATGTTAATAGGTGTTTAAGAAACAACGGATACCCCTGAAATTCATTGAGAAATATACAAAACATGAAGATAAAAGACCTAAAGAAACTACAGTAAACAAAAAAACCTATTTTTATTCAACTCCAATTCAAAGGTGATGATGTGACAGGGTCAATCAGTGTGAGGCTAAAAACTGCATCGAAAAGAACTTATCCGGCAGCTAAACTGATTGTCCTATCCAAAACAACATGTTCTTTGACACAAAGGTCGATAGGTATTCCTTTCATATTACCACCAACTATGTATACAAAATCACATGTATCTTCCAAAGCAGTTACATTGGTACAACAGGAAGGAGAGTCTACGTCTGATTCAAAGAACATATTCTGAAAAATCCGAGGTCAAATGAATTAGAAGCATTCAGCAGTGCAATCTCAAGACATCTTGAAACATGACATCAGGTCGATACACTGAAGCCCTTCAAGGTGATTAATAAGCAATCAAACTCCAATCTTCCAAAATCTGCCGAAGCGATATCGATCAAACGTCTAAAACCAGATCTATTTATCCAAAAAGAAGAAGTAAAAAATCTTTCTTTGCCCTGGTAACGTTACATCCTTTTTATTGAGTCATTCATTATTTCAACTCTTTCTGAAATTTCATTATATCTTTCTTTATTATCACATAATTCTGCATCACATTTTAATCATGGTTCAAGAGATATCAAGAAATTTTCCAAAATGATTTTACACATCATGGTAACACTTCGAAGGTGAGAAATCTACTTCAGAAACTTGGAGTAACTGAACATAAAAAATATTCAAATCTTATCTTGCCGAAATGCCCAACATTTTTCTTTTGATCCTAATGTACAAAAATAAACAGAGATTTTCACTACTCAGACTTCTTTATTTAACTTGCGATATAATTTTCTTAGAATTGATAAAAGACCTGAAGAAACATTTGTTTCATATGCTACATTTGTTAGGAACCAATGCAAAACTTTTAAATTGAGCTTATTTCCAGAGGAACAATCCAGGTGTCTAACTTTGTATGCAACTACACCTGTAGCTCTTCTAGGGTTGCTGCAGTTCCCGGGAGGATTAATCAAATGGCTACGGAAATCAGGAGATACAACTCAACGGTGCTCGGAATCAGCGAAACCCATTGGACCCAAACTGAACAGAAAAAATTGGATTCAGGAGAAATGCTGTTGTACTCTGGTCATGAAGAAGTAAGTACTTCGCACACGCAGTGAGTTGAACTAATGCTGTCCAAAGAAGCACGAAAAACGCTTAAAAGGTGGGAGTTTGATGGATCCGGGATCATCAAAGCATTTTTCAAAATAAAGAAGAAGGGAATCACAATCAATACACAAAAGTAAACAAGCAAGTGAAGAAGGGCATTAGAGCCAACGAACGGAAATATGTGCAAGACCTAGCAATGACAGAGGGGAAAAGCTACAAGAGAGGGAAATATGAGACAACCATATGATACAACGAAGAAACCGTCAGCGAAATATGGTAAAGCAGAGAGACCGGTCAAGGACAAAGAAGGCATGCCAATCACTCAGATTCAGGAACAGAGGAACAGATGGGTAGAACACTTTGAAGAACTCTTGAAAAGATCAGTCTCACTGAACTCACCAGACATCGAAGCAAAATACACAGACCTTCCCATAGATGTCATTCCACAACGGTCGAGGAAATCAACATGGCCATCAGACAAATCAAGATTGGGGAAACAGCACGCTCTGAAAATCTACCACCTGAAGCATCGAAGTCAGACATAGAGGTAACTGCAAACATGCTCCGCATTCTATTCATAAAGATTTGGGAGGAAGAACAAGTGACGACAGACTGAAAAGAAGGAAATCTCATCGAGATACCAAAGAAAGCGGATCTCAGCAAGTGTTAGAAACACAGAGGCTTCACACTACTATCGGTACCAGGAAAAGTTTTCAACAGAGTGTTGTTGAACCGAGTGGAAGATACAGTAGACGTCCAACTTCAAGATCAACATCAACAGGCTGGATTCCGTAAGAATCGATCGTGCACTGACCAGGTTGCGACACTACGGATCGTCGTTCAACAATCGATTGAATGGAATTCGTCACTATACATCAACTTCCTTGATTATGAGAAAACTCTTGACAGTGTGGATAGGAGGAACTTAAGGAATCTACTTCGACATTATGATGTGTCTGAGAAGATCGTCAACATCATACGGAATTCATATGACGGATTACACTTCAAAGTCGTGCATGGAGAATATGTGACACACGCATTCCAATTGAGAATCAGTGTCGGACAAAGCTGTCTACTCTCTCCCTTTCTCTATCCTCTAGTGATTGAATGCATTACATACATACACAAGGGAAAAGCAAGATCCTCAAATACAACACAGAGAGCACCAACGCAGTCACACTTGATGGAGAAGCTCTGGAAGGGATAGAAGCTTTCACGTATCTAATCAGCATCATCGACAGACAAGGATGATATGATACAGATGTTAATGCATGAATCGGCAAATCAAGGGCAGTATTTCTACAATCGAAGAGCATATGGGACTAAAAACAACTGTCAGAATCTTCAATACGAACGTCAATGCAGTTCTATTACACAGAGGTGAAACGTGAAGAACTACTACAACTATCATCAAAAAGGCAAGGGTATTTATAAACAGTTGTTTACGCAAGATACTCAATGTCTGTTTGCCGGATACTATAGGCAACAACCTACTATGGGAGAGAAGAAACTAGCTTCCAGTTGAAGAGGAAATTAGGAAAAGATGTTGGATGCGGATGGAACATACATTGAAGAAATCACCAAACTGCATCACAAGGCAAGCACTAACTTGGAATCCTGAAGGCAAGGGTAGAAGAGGAAGGTCAAACAACACATTGCGTCAGGAATTGGAGGTAGACAAGGAAGGGAAGAATAGCAACTGGAAAGGATTGTCTAGGACAGGTTTCGATGGCGAATCCTGATAGGTGTCCTATGGTCCTCCTCGAGTAGTAACAGGCATAAATAAGTAAGTGTTCTATAATTCACAGCCAGTCCTCATATATCAAATGTACATTTTCAAACTAAAAATGATCTCTTCATATGTAGACTCAATGTCAGAAATAATTCTATGCCTACACTAACGACTAATATTCAGATGGATTTATATACTTTTATATGTGGAAAAGATCTCGATCAATGAAGTCAACAAATTCGTGAGTGATATAAAATGCACCAAATAACGATATTGTTTAAGGGCTGAGATGAAACTGAAAACGTCTGAATCATTCCCACCTAGGGCTGAGACTCTGGAATACTGAGTACAGTTTAGACACGCATTGGGATTTTGTCACTTGCCGTTTTGCTTTGGAATATATTTACGTTATGTTCAAGTAGTGTTTTGATTTGAAAACCAATCGAATGGAGTGAAGTGTCCAAGAATACTAGGCCGCATAAACAAACTTAGTACTTTCCTAATTGATGCAATTTAATAATAAAAATTTTCTTCACATTACGCAGTATATATAATATTCATTGAACCAGTAAATTTAGATATTTTTAAAGTGTATGAGTGAAAGAGTGAAAAAATGTGAATTAATCTAACTTACCTAAAGAAATACCATGCAACAGTAGACAAACAGCATCTGTTATATTTTCTACTCGACGCAATGTGATTAACTCATTGACACGTGATTGTTTTGTAGTTGAAATCTCCATAATTATTATATGACCTATATGACCAGAATAATGAAAAATTAAGCAAACTAGAGAAAACAAATAGATCAACATGGTAACATACAGAAAACACACTCACAGAGGGAACAAAGTGTAGTTAACCTTTTCATTCAATAATTGACTGTAAAATAAATGCAACAAACCTGATACGCAAAAATCCTAATCGATTGAAATGGTTAGAACATGTGTTACCTATGCCTAATCATTGCCTACTTCAGCAAGCGATGCCTGATGCTATAAGAGTACGTTGGCAGAGTTAGGGGAGGTCAAACCAAAACATGGCATCAGTCCATGAAGCCACTGGGTGTTGGTCTGAGCCATGTTGGTAGATGCAGACTGACTGGTTGAGGTCCACATAATAACCAGGATCACTGGTTAGAAACTTTAGATGACATGGCTCTGAATCGTTCACAATGGTGTAGACGTATTCACAATTTATCTTCCTTTCAATCCTGAAATCCACGACACTCATGTAAACCCTTTTATCGCCATTTCAAGACAGTTCCTCAATAGTCAGTAGTTCCCGTTATTCTCACTACTATATTACTTTGATTGATTTTGCAATTCGTCACGTTTTGCTAATGTGATGTGGTAAATTTAACAACGAGAAAAATTGACAGGCTTGATATGTCGATTATGATTAACTATTTAACTGTACAAATTACAACTTCCCATTAAAATCGATCTGCGTAGGTCAGTCAATCAGCGTAGGACCAGATGCATATATATATGCATCGTTCCAAGTTGCCACACTTCATTAGCACAACAAGACGAACACCATATTCATAGAAGCAGTTACTTCAGTGGCAGTAATATATAAAAGAAAGATTGCATATAAGGACATAATACAGGGAGAACGAATTATTTAGTAGAAAGGTATAAAGTAATTTAACCTCATGTTTTAAGGGAAGACAAACAGTGTAAACACCAACATCTTTGTGATCGATTCTGAGCCATGTCATCCAGAGTATCCAACAATCGGATACGATAGTCACGCGGACCCCAACCAAGTAGTCTGCATCTACCAACATGGCTCAGACTGGAAGTTAGTGGCTTCAAGGACTGATCCCACGTTTTGGTTTGGCCACCCCTAACTTTCTTCCAATCATTCCGAACACCGGTTAGCAATGCACGTCGTGGTAATCGGTGTTCAGGCATACGTAACATGTGGCCCAACCATCTCAGTCGATGAAGATTCACAAAATCATCAACTGATTTACCATCATTCTCTAATATTCTGCGTCTAACCTCACCATTAATTACCCGTTGATCTCAGCAGATGCGAGCACTTGAGGTTTCTAAATCAGATGACAGTTCACCATTAGCTCTGACTCGACTGGTACTGTTCGAGTAAGGAGCCTTCACAAGGTTAATGTACTTTTGAGGTACACCTTTCAATGACAAACAGTGCTACAGAATCTTGCGGTCTATACAGTCAAATGGTGCTTTTAAGTCAAGAAAAACTATAGTTGTCCAACGCCGATAAACATGCTTGTGTTCCAACATCTGGCGAATAGTGAATATGTGGTCGATGCAATCACCACCAGATTTGAAGCCAGCCTGATTTCGTGTTTGCAGTTCATGAGTCTTAGTTAGGCATCCGACAACTATTGACGGTAGTATTTTAGATGCTATAATTATCACATGGTGATTTTGACCCCTTCTCATATATTGCGACAATCAGTGATTACGACCAGTTAGATGGAATTACATTCAGTTTCCACATTTTAGCTAAAATATTAGTCAACCTAATCACTAAAACTAGACCACCATCCTTAAAGACCTCTGGAGCCAATCCATCTAGACCAACTGCTCTTCCTCATTCCAGATTAGTTATAGCTTTTTGAAATTCAACGAGAGTTGGGGGACCTACTTCAGTGTTCCATTCAGGCTGTTTGGAAATGGGAGTATACTTGAAACCCACAAATACGGTTAGAGATAATTTTTAAATAGTTGAGCGACAGCTTAGATACGCAGGAAGTAAGGCGTGGAAGAAGTGTAAATTTCTTTATATATCCAAACTAATCCAAATCACCATACAACAGTAATGGTATTTATTACCATTAGGATATTGGCTAAGCGATTGTTCCTAAGAGTAATGAAAATCTGAAACCTAAATCTGCTTGTGACTGAATAGAAATACCGAAGTAAACCACACAGGACGCACATATGTCAAAGGAGACTGATCAATAGCAGTCCTAAACACCAATGGGAGGATCCAAACTAACAATATGAATGAATGAAAATTCACCCCATTACATAAGCCAGTGGCTATCTGGACTTAGTAGCTAAGTGAGTGACGCGTTAGGTGCTTGAAGCAAACAGGCTGGATTCAAGTCTCGGAGTGAACATCGACTCCGAGATCCAGGTACATAAAGCTGGTGAGTCGCAAATAGAATGAGACGCGCGTTCTGGATTTTACTGCTAGTCACCATCCATCTTTGCATTCAATGATTATTATATAATAAGTAAATTATGTAAAGAAAGAAAGGATACTAATTCATCTGTCTTACCGTGACCAGGTGAAGGGATAGGTTCACAGCTTAGTAAATTAAATGAAGCACCGACATTAACTGGTACACCAACATGACCATCCATTTCTGTAACAGTTCGTAGAATTTCCAATTCACCTGACTTCAAATCATCCGGTATTGTAAATTCTGTCCGATAAACTGTCGCTTGTTTAAGCATTCCAAGTTTTATTTCAAATACAGGTTTATTTTTCAATTCTGATGGCAAGGTCGGCATTTCATCGATATCTCGATTCAGTAGGCGGACTTCAATATGATGACCGGAATCATCATCTTCACCGTAGATAACTTTGTCCTCAGTAGTGATACAGGATTGATGTAAGCCGTCTAGTTGACGCTCTTCGACGTTAATCACTAAAGGTAAATCAGAAAAGCTAACTTTTCTTGCAACATGCAATGGATGAGGATTTGAAGAAATTGTGGTTGATAAATTACTACTAGATAAATGGTCTTCATTAACCATTTGATTAAAATGTACTGTACGATGTTCTGAATCAAGACAAACCTCACTAGATTTGGATGACTTACGACGACTGGGCGAATTAATGGGTAACTAGGAAAAAAATATTACAGAAATTATTTTTCACACAATACATTTATTTTTAATCGAAAAACTCGTTTGAGATGTCTTTCTACTGGTCACAAATATCTCAAGAATCAGTCAAAGATCTTATTTCTAACACTATGTGTAGATGTTCTGAGTTAAGGTAATTCGTGCAATGATGTTAATCTACAGCTGAAGACTTTCGAAATATATATTATTTACAGTTAGTATCCCACTGTATTTTAATGCCACTGCTACTCCCTCCTTACATTTTATCCATTTCCTCTATAGATAGAAGAAATAGATTATAGCTAACAGTGGAGTCAAAGATAGTCGTTTCGTCTTACTGAGGAATCGTGAATTGGATGCGCCTGAATCATGATGTGGATGTTTACATTAGGACTCAATCCCAGTACCTTTTGCTTCAAATGCCAACGCATTATTCAGTGAGCTACGGAGTCCAGATAGCTTCTAGTTTACTAAACAGTTATGAATTTTATAAAATCCAAATGGCAGAAACTTCATGTTGTTATATTTAAGTATAAGAAGTTTTTGGAGATTGCAAAACTTTCAATTTACATCACGAACTGAATTGAGCTAGATCAACATTGAGAACCTGAAAGTACGAAACAGAGATTTCATCCTAGAATGAGACATTTCAGCAGTATGCACCCACAACATGATCCGCAACCGAGAATCAAACCTAGGACTCTAATCTTCGTGCGCGAATCCCTAATCCCTAAACTATTGAGAGGTGGGTCCAATGGTGTTAATGTCTAACTTCAGTCAATTCAAGATATCGTGCAATACTTTTATTAGGATTTAATATTTTCATATGATAAACAGACTACTACGAATTTGTCAAATGACTGTATGGTCAGTTATGGAAATGCTGAAATGATTACAATTAATTTATGTCAAATAACTATGGAAAACTAACCAATGTGAATGATATTGTATATGCACATATGTATCTATTTTGAAGTCATATATTTTATGCATCAGGCATAGTATGATACACTTAGACTGTCCAAACCAAGGTCCGACTGGATTCGAATCGGTGACACAATAACGACTGGAAGTTGACTGACTAAACCATGAGACAATTATTCTATGGACAGTAAAGCAACTACACAATGACCGAGTTCGAATTCATGCGACTAGTCGTCAGCCCCAAACATAGTTGATACCCTGACTGTTTGACCAAGCTGAGACGTTATTTAAACACATGAATTAATGGTTGAAAGTTGTCTACCTGGCTCATAAACCCACTGTATTCCAATGAACGATTATAACAAAAGGAAAACCAGTGATTTGAGATCAAGGTGATGGTACAATAAAACTTTAATAGTTTTGTGTGAATACACAAGAAAGGTAGAAAGAAAATCCATAATACTGTAATTCATTAACTAAATGCATGTAAAATTGGAATTAAGATATATATTTCTAGTAGGTGAGTGTCAGTTTGATAGCACTAGAGCCTGAATGCCTAAATAGCCATATTTTACTTATCACCAATCAATATCATTTACATTTCTTTATGCGATAATAAATACTATAACATTAAAACAGTGATTCACACAGCTTAGAGAAAAAGAAATCAGAACAAAACATTACGAGAATCTATTTATTTATTTAACAAAGAATTTTACAAAGTGGTAAAAAATTTTAAAATAAGAATAAATAAACGTGTATATATAGCAGGACAGTTTATGTGAAGTCTACAGATAATACATATTTATTTAAATCGAATTAGATGGAGAAGAGTTTCACACAGAAACCTGCAATGGTCGACAGTAAAGTGTTCTGATCACCGAAACATCGAACCACACATTATTGTACGAAGAACAATGATACTCACTGATCGTCTCAACAGATATAAATTAAACAGAATATCATTCTGAGACAAAGATACAGTGCTTAAATAATTAAGCTACCGGGCTCTACATGCAAACTTCTAGGTGATCCATCGGTATTTAATCGAAATGAAAAACCGATTAAAGTGCCATATATCGATATGATTTAAATAACAAATTATATAATTTTACCTTATGTGGTTACTTCAGTTAGACGACCATTTTAAACCGGGAAACATTGGATAGCTAATTTTGCCTAGTTATAGGAACTTATTTATTTACTTATTTTATATATTTTAACACATAGATATTGGTACAAGGAAGCAGCAAATACATATACGCCACACAAATCACATTTGATATGTGTGAGGGCTGTGATACTGCCCGCGTGCCCAAACCGAAGCAGGTGGTTTTCTTACGGGGCCACACCCGGAGCCGTCGACCTGAAGGTCTGATCCACAAGGCAGTGGAGCATCGTAAGGAGATGCAGTCCCATGGCAGCCGGTGACCAACGATTGGTTCATACGCCATTTGTTCCCGCAGGATACTGGAGCCCATGTGCACCAGTGGTTTGGAATCAGGGTCTTCCAACTCCCCTAGATAGACTCTCCATGTCCATCCCGGTTAAAGCGCCGGACATTCGCTTTTCGTCCTCTCAATTTCGTAAACACCCCTGCGAAGAGAAGGCAATGAGTAGGACTTACCTGGAAGAGGCCATTCGAGAGCATTTCGAGAGGGAGAGCGGACTCTCCTAACTCTCGGCCGTACCAGGGCATTTGGGGACCACGACCACACCAGGAAATGAACCCAACACCTTTCAGGACTCGAATGGAGTGCTTATCATGGAGATTACTGAGTTGGCATTGAGTAGTTAACGTTTTCAACTCTAACTATACATCCGACTTGGACTACCTATCCAAGCTACCATATCTGACATTATTTACATTTCGTACTGTTATCGTATATACAAATTAAAATGTATCCTTTCGCACCATAAAGGTCACATTTTCTCATCCCTGACCTTGCACACATAAACACACAAATTTACATACATGTCGCTTATAAATCACCTAGACCGAAATGACATGACATTAACTTGTTCAGACCTGTTTTGATTGATCGCACATAATATTTTTGCGTCGTTTCGTTGTATTATTTAAACTAAGATTAATTTTGTTCTGGTTATTTATTTTCTGGAGAATTGGCTTACACTGAGTCACTAAACGTTAGAAAATCTAATTTTCTACTCATCGGCATATTAAAAATATATTATTTTATTTATGTTTGACTCTTGTCAATTTTCAATATTACAAGACTATTACCATTTCCCACTGGTGAAATCGGACTCATGGTTGACAAGTATGACTTTCACCGGTCACGGACTCACGATGACATTTCAGGAATCCGTAAGCGAAAATAATCAATGGTAGAAACATTACAATGGCAATCATCCATTTCTAAAAGTAAATCTAGCAATAAAGAATTGGTTGGACCAATTACTTGGTCCATACTAGACAATATTGTAACAATTAAGTCAGAAATTTGGAAATCAAAGATCCTTTGTAAAAAAAATTACTGAATTATGTTTCCCCAGAACATAGAATATAGAACTGAAAACAATGGATTACTTAGCTGAGGGTTGAGGTATCAAAGTACGTTCTTTGAAATGCAAAAGAGGTACGACTGAAATACTGTCCATTTCTTTTGCTTTGAGAAGCAAGTGTAATATTGTTGGGTTCAAAATGTATAAAGAGCAGATCCTAGGTCCAGATATAGGAGGAAGGATGGGATTGTAATCAGCAACACAATCAGGTAGAAAACAACCTTGCTAAACAAATGCGAACCAGAATAAACAAATTAAACAATTTAAACTCATCCATTCGATTTCAAGGATATTCATTTACAAGAATTATGACACCACACGGTGAAAACAGACATTTTATAGTACAAATTAAGCACTCTTTTTCAAAACTCGGATTATGTTAGAAATTTGGTCCGTTGAATTCCAACTCAATTATCTTAAGATACTGTAGTCACTAAAAACCTGAATGCTTATGTATGAACACAGTTGAATAGTCTCAAATACGAATGAATAGAATGTTCAGTGCTATTCAGCTGTACATTGTTTATTACTAACCTAAACATGATGTATGTGAAGGATGAATTCAGCTGAGATAAAATATCTAGATTTTCCTTTTTAAAAAACCCACAAAATATGCTCTAGAATTGTTTTTAGCATTCAGGAATGTCAATAAGAACAACAAGTAACCATTTCCAAGTAAAATACTTTCCTTAGTAAACAATCAATGGGTATTTCAGTAATGCTCTTTAGTTATAAAAACACACGCTTGAGTATTATGCCTTATGTTCGCGCTCAAATAGTCATTTGGGGGGTTAGCGCATAGCACACCGCGTATCAGTATCAGATTTCGGACACAACTCATCACAACAGTTACTGGATACGTTATTTTCATCAAACCCACGCGAAAATAAATTTCAAAATTTCTATTTCAGCAGATTAGCTTAAGTCAACTCTGCAGCAGCCACAAAAAAATTTCAACCATCACAATCGAAAATGATCAAATGATAATACAAATGTTGTCAAATCAAGAAAACTCAACAAAGGTGTCCAAATCAAGGGACTCAACTACCGAATCACTAGTCAATACAATGAACGAGTTTCATTCTGATCCTGGCACAGGTATCACATTTCAATCATGGTTCAAGAGATATCAAGAAATTTTCCAAAATGATTTTACACATCATGGTAACACTTCGAAGGTGAGAAATCTACTTCAGAAACTTGGAGTAACTGAACATAAAAGATATTCAAATCTTATCTTGCCGAAATGCCCAACATTTTTCTTTTGATCCTAATGTACAAAAGTCAGTAAGTCAGTCAGCTACAACGTAGGACCAGGCACATATGTGCATCGGTCCAGGTTGCCAAACCGCATCAGTACAACAAGATGAACACCGGATTCATAGCAGTGGTTAGGTCAAAGGTGGTAATATATAAGAGAAAGATTGCATATAGAGATATAGTACAAGAAGAAAAAAATTGGTTCGTAGAAAGAAAGATATAAAGCGATTTTAATCTCTTAGTTTAAGGGAAGACAGTTAGTGTATACACCGACGCCATTGTGATCGATTCTGAGCCATGTCATCCAGAGTATCCAACAATCGGATACGATAGTCACGCGGACCCCAACCAAGTAGTCTGCATCTACCAACATGGCTCAGACTGGAAGTTAGTGGCTTCAAGGACTGATGCCACGTTTTGGTTTGGCCACCCCTAACTTTCTTCCAATCATTCCGAACACCCGTTAGCATTGCACGTCGTGGTAATCGGTGTTCAGGCATAAGTAACATGTGGCCCAACCATCTCAGTCGATGAAGATTCACAAAATCATCAACTGATATACCATCATTCCCTAATACCCTGCGTCTAACCTCACAATTATTTACCCGGTGATCCCAGCAATATTTCTAAGGCATCTGTGGTCAAATACTAATAGCTTACGAGTGTGTTCTACTCTTAATGGCCATGTTTCGCTGCCGTAAAGTAAAACAGAACGGACTGCCGCGCAGTATACAAAAATAAACAGAGATTTTCACTACTCAGACTTCTTTATTTAACTTGCGATATAATTTTCTTAGAATTGATAAAAGACCTGAAGAAACATTTGTTTCATATGCTACATTTGTTAGGAACCAATGCAAAACTTTTAAATTGAGCTTATTTCCAGAGGAACAATCCAGGTGTCTAACTTTGTATGCAACTACACCTGTAGCTCTTCTAGGGTTGCTGCAGTTCCCGGGAGGATTAATCAAATGGCTACGGAAATCAGGAGATACAACTCAACGGTGCTCGGAATCAGCGAAACCCATTGGACCCAAACTGAACAGAAAAAATTGGATTCAGGAGAAATGCTGTTGTACTCTGGTCATGAAGAAGTAAGTACTTCGCACACGCAGTGAGTTGAACTAATGCTGTCCAAAGAAGCACGAAAAACGCTTAAAAGGTGGGAGTTTGATGGATCCGGGATCATCAAAGCATTTTTCAAAATAAAGAAGAAGGGAATCACAATCAATACACAAAAGTAAACAAGCAAGTGAAGAAGGGCATTAGAGCCAACGAACGGAAATATGTGCAAGACCTAGCAATGACAGAGGGGAAAAGCTACAAGAGAGGGAAATATGAGACAACCATATGATACAACGAAGAAACCGTCAGCGAAATATGGTAAAGCAGAGAGACCGGTCAAGGACAAAGAAGGCATGCCAATCACTCAGATTCAGGAACAGAGGAACAGATGGGTAGAACACTTTGAAGAACTCTTGAAAAGATCAGTCTCACTGAACTCACCAGACATCGAAGCAAAATACACAGACCTTCCCATAGATGTCATTCCACAACGGTCGAGGAAATCAACATGGCCATCAGACAAATCAAGATTGGGGAAACAGCACGCTCTGAAAATCTACCACCTGAAGCATCGAAGTCAGACATAGAGGTAACTGCAAACATGCTCCGCATTCTATTCATAAAGATTTGGGAGGAAGAACAAGTGACGACAGACTGAAAAGAAGGAAATCTCATCGAGATACCAAAGAAAGCGGATCTCAGCAAGTGTTAGAAACACAGAGGCTTCACACTACTATCGGTACCAGGAAAAGTTTTCAACAGAGTGTTGTTGAACCGAGTGGAAGATACAGTAGACGTCCAACTTCAAGATCAACATCAACAGGCTGGATTCCGTAAGAATTGATCGTGCACAGACCAGGTTGCGACACTACGGATCGTCGTTTAACAATCGATTGAATGGAATTCATCACTATATATCAACTTCTTTTACTGTGAGAAGGCTTTTAATTTGAACGAAAACTTTAGACGACAGGGTTTTGAAAAAAGCTCATGATTGATTTGTTCTAGAATGTTGTTTTAAGAATGAAGAGTCTCTGTTTTTCATAGACTGAATTTCAGTTTTGATTATGATGAGATCTACTTTGGTTTAGATAATTGGTCTTTGGCAATAGTAGTATTTCTAGCCTTCATCCTTTAAATAGGAATCTAAGGTTATGATGTAAACCCGATTTTTCAATAAAAATCGTACACCTGTACTGTTCAGTAGAATTCGGTCAGAAATCATGACTAAGAAACACGAAGCGTGATAGCTTAGCACAAATATCCTGGACTTACAGGAGGTGGATCCTGGCGTCCCATATAGTTCATTGGTGTCGTTTTCGGTGTTGAATGATATAGCATCGAAATACATGGGAAAAGCACCCACGTTTCCATAAAAAATTACAAATAAACTATGTTGTTGAGTATTGACTAGCGTGAAACATATATGAAACAGTGCTTTCCACCGATTGTCTATTACTAGAATAATAATGTCTACGAAAAGCACCACTGAATTATTAACCAAAAGATTGTTCGTCTCACCGCGTAATATTGATCAGTAGGCGGGAGTGTAATTACTTTTTTGAAAAATTATCTACTAAAAAAATGAAAGTGTTAAAGGCACGAAAAATACACTATTTTTAAAATAAAAACAAGACTAGATAATGAGAGAGGAAACCTAAAAAAGAGGCTACTAAAAAAATGCATTTGCTTGAAAAAAAAAAAGACAAATGATTCAGCATAAACTATTGGAAAAATCACTTTTAAACACATGTTGAATCAGAGGGGATAGATATAGCGAAAGATTTAAACGATGAGCAAATGCATTATGATCTTATCATCTAAATATTACTAAAAGGATGACAGCGGCAGCGACAAGATAGATGTAGTAATCATTAACCGACGGGAACAATATTAATGTACGGGAGAATTTATAATAGTAATAATAAGAAGAATCACTGTTGATTGGAGGAGGGCAAGGTTCGTTTAATTACCATGATCGCATACGATTCTATGTTCAAAAGACTACGAATGACAGTCATCAGTGTTATGTTTAATTAATCACCATGAATGGGTTGTGCAGCAAAGGTAGAAAATCAACAGCTTTGTAGGATAAGACGTTTTATGTGATGACATTTGGAGCTACTCGACCAGTGATTTTAGTTACACCGCATAATTCCAATGCTAATTCAATATGCGGTTTCAGATATTCCTGTATGATAAAAGTTAAAATAAATGCAGGATGGATTACATCTTATCACTATTATGATTACACACAACAAACAACAATACTTCCAAAAAATGCATAAAAAACCAACAGGTAAACGCTAACATTTGGAGTCAGAGTATCCAGAACAATAATAACATCGTTTAGTTGAAAGGTTTGTGATCGATTCTGAGCCATGTCATCCAGAGTATCCAACAATCGGATACGATAGTCACGCGGACCCCAACCAAGTAGTCTGCATCTACCAACATGGCTCAGACTGGAAGTTAGTGGCTTCAAGGACTGATGCCACGTTTTGGTTTGGCCACCCCTAACTTTCTTCCAATCATTCCGAACACCGGTTAGCAATGCACGTCGTGGTAATCGGTGTTCAGGCATACGTAACATGTGGCCCAACCATCTCAGTCGATGAAGATTCACAAAATCATCAACTGATTTACCATCATTCTCTAATATTCTGCGTCTAACCTCACCATTAATTACCCGTTGATCTCAGCAGATGCGAGCACTTGAGGTTTCTAAATCAGATGACAGTTCACCATTAGCTCTGACTCGACTGGTACTGTTCGAGTAAGGAGCCTTCACAAGGTTAATGTACTTTTGAGGTACACCTTTCAATGACAAACAGTGCTACAGAATCTTGCGGTCTATACAGTCAAATGGTGCTTTTAAGTCAAGAAAGACCACTACCACCATCGATAAAGTGGTATTGCAAATGGATTGAAGTCGAAATCGTACCATTGGGCACCGACCTAGTGGGGGTTTTAACGGTTAAGCGTTTATTTCAAAAACTGAATGTACTGGGGTTTCATTGCTGGTGGAGTTGTAAACATAAAACACTGGAGAGTTCCGTACTAGAACGAAATAACTGTACAGCACTATATACTAACGGAGATCAACCTATGATGAATAAAACTTTGTATGAACTTGATTATAAACAGTTAAATCCACCATTAATCATCACCATGATGGTGAAATATTCACCTACTGAAATACACATTTGGGTGATTGACAAGTCAACAAATATTACTATATTCTCGAGTTTATATTGATTATGTAGTACTGCTTCTGTAATACAAGTATCCTTCATTATGCTATCTGTTAAATGTACTAAAAGATAGTTATACGTAGGATTAGCACTTGTCAGTTCGCTGCTGCGCCCTGACTCATAATAGGATATAGAACACGTATTATGAATACCAGGATGTAGTTCAAGTAAAGGATGGAAAGCAAAGCTTACTAAAAAATCAGTTCTACTTTAGAATGACTTGTAAAAAATATGGTTGCGATTGTTTAGGGAGTATCAGTTATCAACCTATTTCATGGCAGAGGAATGTACATAAGACACGACTAAGGCATCTTGTAATTGTCAACTATGTACATAAGTTTGATCCTTTTCAGCTGTTCGTACATAGGACAGTAATTTAGATGTGTCTGAGTAGCTCATTAGTATGTGGTATGTGCTACTTATATCGATATAAGTAGTATAAACCGCTAGTCAGGGATAGAATGTTTGGAAGCAAAAGGTCGAGAAGGAAAGAACGGGAACAGAAAGCAATTAGTATGGAATTGAAGGAACACTGAAGTCTGAGACGATTGATTGAGATTTGCAAAGGAACAGTCAGGTTTGAGATACTTTGCAAATTAAGTATTTACTGTATGATTCTCAGATTTTACTAAGGGATTCTGCAATTTGGAGTTCAAACGTATTCGATTGCCCCCACTTGTGCTCTCGTTCACTATAGTATATTAAAAGATGGAATGTTACATCTATACAAAGCGCAATAGTGAATATCAGAGAGAAAAGCCTTCAACCTACATAAGAAACAAAAAATAATGAGTATACTTCATTCAATATGCAGAGGCCATTACGGCCAAGGTTTTCGGCCTGATCTTAGCTAGCATACAGAATAAGAGAACGATGAATCTCATCCAGTAACACTAGTGAAAATAAACATCACAACAGAATTTCACTTATTAAATGGTTTATTTTTATCCCATATATTATTCTCGTTGACTTTATTCTATGTAATCACACGTATTATAACTAGCATTAGTAATAATAATAATAATATTGTGACGACGGACCACCGGTGAACTCGAGGAAGCTGTAAGAGGCTCATAGGGAGCCGAAGACATTCCATCCAATCACCTTTCGGAAGAATGTTCTAGAATTCCAACGTGTAGCTTCCCGATTGGATAATGCTAATAACCCCCTGTACGCGGATTGGAAGACTGTAATGATGATTTCGTTCTCACTAAAAACTATAAATACCTGACAATTTTGTACTATGTTTGACACTGTTTGGAATAGTATTCCTTTCGTTAGTCTTCTGTCTTCTTATTGCGACTTGGAAGGGATTGGTGTTCTAGTGTTCAGTTATACGCGGTTGTATCAAGAAAAATCAGCTTTTTCAAGTTATAACATCTGGCGACGGGTTATTGTATCAATATGTCACTTACCTTGGAACAATTTGAAGCCTTATTGGAACGCCAAGAAAAGTTCCAGATGCGCATGTTAGAGATGCTAACGCAGAAAATGAACCTGGATCAAAAAGAAGTTACAGATGATCCCTTCAAATCTCATGTTGACCAGATTGTTAATTCTATCCATGAATTTAATTTTGATGGTTCAGCTGGCATTACTTTTGAAACTTGGTTCAAGAAATATGAAGATTTGTTCAAGGTCGACCTCAAAAAACTTGATGACGCCGCTAAGGTCAGAATACTCTTGCGAAAACTTGGAACTGTTGAACATGAACGTTACAGTAACTTTATCCTTCCAAAGAATCCAAGAGATTTTTCTTTTGATGCAACGATTGAAATTTTGTCGCAAATCTTTGCTGAACAGTCATCCTTGTTTAATATTCGTTATCAGTGTCTCAAGATGACAAAAGCAGGTGATGATGACTGGGTGAAACATGCGGGTTTAGTAAACCGTGAATGTGAGCGTTTCAAACTATCAGCAATGACAGAAGACCAGTTTAAGTGTCTCGTATTTGTGTGCAGCCTCCAATCTCCCGAAGATGCCGATATTAGAACTAGAATTTTGAGTAAAATTGAACAATGCCCGAATATGACACTACAAGAAGTAACCGCAGAGTGCCAGAGATTGGTGAACCTAAAGCATGACACTTCGATGGTCGAAAATAATGGCCAGTTGCCATACGTTCGTGCTATAAGCAGAAAGAACGATTCTTGCTCAAGAAAGGCATCGCACACAGATAATCAGCCTTCATCTCCATGTTGGTCTTGTGGTGGTTGGCATTATAAAAGGTTCTGTCCATATAAAGAACATTGTTGTAGCAAGTGTCATCGCAAGGGACATAAAGAAAACTGCTGCAGAAAAAGAACCCATAAACGACATTCTTTGAAACCCTACTCGAAGAAATACAGATTTAGTGCTCGAACTAACAAAATATTGGTATCACATAATCGAGCACGAATTCGCCGCCAAAGAAAGTATGTAAACTTGGATATAAATAAAAAGCGTGCCCGCCTGCAACTCGACACCGCTTCTGACATCACACTTATTAGTCGGAGAACTTGGAATCTTATCGGTAAACCACAGGTGCTCCCAACAACTCAGTTAGCTCACAGCGCATCTGGAGGAAAACTAGATATTGTTGGAGAGGTTTGTTGTACAGTCTCGAAAGGAAATGCGAAAACGAATGCAACCTTATATCTTACACAGAATCCAGGACTAGATTTGCTAGGTCTAGACTTGATAGAAGCACTTCAATTAGCAAATCACCCCATTAACCACATATGCAGCGCAGTGAGAACCAGTAAACCGGTGGAAAAGGATCTGAATAGTGTTGTATTGGAAAGACACAGTCAAGTGTTTACGGAAGAGTTGGGGGAATGCAAAAAGGTTAAAGCACTATTGATTCTTAAACCGGGAGTCACCCCCGTCTTCAGACCAAAACGTCCGGTACCCTATGCAGCACTACCTATCGTTGAACAAGAATTAGAGCGTCTGCAAAGAAGTGGAATAATCGAACCAGTAAACTTTTCTGATTGGGCAGCTCCAATAGTGATTGTTAAAAAGCCTAATGGAAGTATCCGGTTATGTGCAGATTATTCGACTGGATTAAATGAAGCGCTTGAAGCCCATCAATACCCATTGCCGGTACCAGAGGATTTATTTGCGAAACTGAACGGGGGTAAGTATTTTGCGAAATTAGACCTATCAGACGCTTATCTACAGATTCCGGTAGCGGATGAGTGTAAGCATTACTTGACAATAAACACTCACAAGGGATTGTTCCGATATAACCGACTTCCTTTTGGAGTAAAGACTGCCTCTTCAATCTTCCAACAAGTTATGGACACTATGTTACAAGACATTCCTGGTACCGCGGCTTATCTCGATGATATATTGATCATGGGTACAGACTATGCTGATTTAGAGAATAAGGTGGATACGGTTCTCAGACGCATAGCAGATTATGGATTAAGACTGCGTGCCGAAAAATGTGATTTTTACATGGAGCAAGTCCGGTATTTGGGATTCATAATTGATAAAAACGGGAGAAAACCTGATCCTGAAAATGTCGAAGCCATTAAGTCCATGCCTCCACCGACGGATGTGTCAACTTTACGTTCTTTCTTGGGAATGGTTAGTCATTATGGAGTTTTTCTGCCAGATCTGCATCGCCATCGTGCTCCTCTTAATTGCTTATTGAAAAACGATACTAAATGGTTCTGGTCAACTGAATGCCAAGAAGCATTCCTAAAACTGAAGCAGCTTCTATCATCGAATCTTCTCCTTACACACTATGATCCCGATCTTCCAATTATAGTCGCAGCAGATGCGTCGAACTACGGAATTGGAGCAGTAATTTCACATGCCTACCCTGACGGTTCTGAGAAAGCAATCGCTCACGCTGCAAGATCTCTGACTATGACTGAAAGAAACTACAGCCAAATAGAAAAAGAAGCCCTCGCGATTATATTTGCTGTAAAAAAGTTCCACAAGATGTTGTTTGGTCGGCAGTTCACCTTACTTACAGACCATAAACCTTTACTGACAGTTTTTGGATCTAAAAAAGGCATCCCGGTATATACAGCAAACCGGCTACAGAGATGGGCTACCACACTGCTGGGTTATGATTTCAAGATAAATTATCAACCAACAACGAATTTCGGGCAGGCAGATGCACTCTCAAGATTGATTGGTCTGCATGAAAAACAAGAAGAAGAGGTGCTTGTAGCTGCTATAGATTTCGAGGCCGAGGTTCACAAAATATTGTCAGACGCAGTTTCCGGACTCCCGGTCACATTTGAAGCAATTAAAGAGGCCAGCAAGAAGGATAATATATTAAAGATTGTTCGCCATTGCATACTCAATAAATGGCCTTCATCGAGATTACACGGAGAACTCTTACAATACTTTCGTCGACGAGAGTCATTAACAGTTGTCGATTCATGTATAATGTTTGGCCATCGTATCGTTATCCCCAGAAATCTTCGACACCAAGTCATTAAACAGTTCCACAGCGGGCATCCGGGGATAAGTAAAATGAAGTAACTAGCTCGTAGCTATGCATACTGGCCGTCAATGGACCATGAGATAGAGCAAAAATGTAGCAGCTGTTGGTCCTGTCAAGAGGCTGCAAAGAATCCAACGAGAGCTGAGCCACAACCATGGCCTAAACCGGACGGGCCTTGGCAAAGAATACATGCTGATTTCGCCGGACCGATACAAGGCAGGAATTACTTAGTTGTTGTAGATGCTTTCACAAAATGGACGGAAGTATATGACATGCCGAATACGACTTCAGAGAGTACCATAAGAAGATTATCAGGATTGTTTGCCTGTTTTGGGGTTCCAGAGATCTTAGTGACTGACAATGGTACTCAGTTTATGTCGTCTGCCTTCAAACGCTTCTGCAACGAGAATGGCATATTGCATCTACAATCTCCTCCATACCATCCTCAGTCGAATGGCCAGGCAGAAAGATTCGTGGATACAATTAAAAGAGCTCTGGTCAAAGGGGGAGGTGAGGGTGTCCCGGAACAAGTGATTAATAAGTTCTTGATGTCTTACAGAGTTACCCCTAATCCGGCAGTACCAGAAGGGAAGTCTCCGGCCGAGTGTATGTTCGGAAGGAAAATCCGGACAGTTTTTAACAGTATGTTGCCGCCCAGAAAGACAAATAAACCCACGAATGAAAATCGTAAGGTCAATCGTAGCTTCCAGGTGGGTGAAAAGGTACTTGTCAGATCGTATCAAGGTAATAGGAAGTGGGAACCAGGTGTTATAGAACGTCGAATCGGAAATGTGCTATACCTAGTCCGGAAAGATGCATAAGACATATAAATCAAATGCAAAGAAATGATAGTACAGTGGTCACAGAAAACCGGCTTCCATTTCAATTGCTCGTAGATTCGTCTCAGAAGAACCATCATGAGCGCAAATATCGAAAAGACAAACGACGCAGAGAGAAGGCTGTACAACCTTCGAGAGTAATGGACCGCAAGAGGAATGCGACACCCAAGCTTCAGGTGGATCCAAGAAAAAAATCTTACACAACGGACTTTAAAGGGGGGAGGTGAGACGACGGACCACCGGTGAACTCGAGGAAGCTGTAAGAGGCTCATAGGGAGCCGAAGACATTCCATCCAATCACCTTTCGGAAGAATGTTCTAGAATTCCAACGTGTAGCTTCCCGATTGGATAATGCTAATAACCCCCTGTACGCGGATTGGAAGACTGTAATGATGATTTCGTTCTCACTAAAAACTATAAATACCTGACAATTTTGTACTATGTTTGACACTGTTTGGAATAGTATTCCTTTCGTTAGTCTTCTGTCTTCTTATTGCGACTTGGAAGGGATTGGTGTTCTAGTGTTCAGTTATACGCGGTTGTATCAAGAAAAATCAGCTTTTTCAAGTTATAACAAATATAAATTGCAATATTACTCTATTAATTTACATGATTGAGTTTTTCACACATAAATGTCTACCGATCTCAATGATTTTGTCTAATTTTGGTAAAATATCATGTTACTGATTGGTGTATGGTACATTCTACTTATGAACGATTGAGGCTTTTTTAAATACGGCTTAACGAATGGAAGCTCATCGGTGGGGTCATGAGTGTGCAACGACACTGAGTCCTATGTTAGGACTAAATTACTGTTCACTGATTCTTGGTTTCTAATGGTTATCGGAACAAAATCAGTCCGTGATGGTAAATCATAAAATTATACATAGAGGTAGTGTGTAAAATACCACAAATACTTTGATACACACTCAATGTTGTACACCACCATGAAAACACTTGTAAATCTCTCTGAAAAAACTGACTGACCTGTGAAGCAATTGTATGTTTAGCCGGATCTGATTCATAAGTGTCAACATACACTCGAAGTGTTGCACCACTACTGCCTGTACCACTTAAACGATACACAAATCGTGTTCCATCATTAAAAATTAAGCGAAAACCCTTTTTCAAAAATAAAAAGAGGAAACGACAATAAGACCATGAAACTCATACAACATACATATGAGAGATCATGTTTGCTAAAGTGAGAATACGGAAACAAGGATTATTTTGGAAAAAAATGCACATAAGCATTACTTGAATGGAACGAAGGATAAGTGGTTAAGGCGCTTGACCTCCAACCAATAAGTCCTAAGTTCGAACACTGCGCACCTAATTCGGTTCAGGCAACTAAATAGTATAATATATCATTCCAACTTAGAGTAATGAGTAATACTCAAGTACGAGATGAATGGGTTAATCACATAATTACAGTTATACAAGTGACGGACTAATCACGCGTAATTCTGAACAAGTATTGAATAATTCTGAACTTCAGTATGTTACTTATGTCTGTCGACATAAATAGTATGTAACACCAATCAGAAGTGAGATGCCTGGCATGAAAAGGTTAGGAATATAGAATTGAATGGAACAGAGAGTAATTGTAATAACAATAGGAATGAAGGAACGATGAAGTTTGTAAGAGATAATTGGTGGAAGGTGAGCGAATGGAGTATTTAATGTGTGGTTTTCGTATTTTACGAAGACATTCTGTAATTTTGTATTAACAAATAAATTGGTTTTGCCCACCTGAGTTTTTGTTCACTACAACCGTATACCATTACTAGTATCATTACTTTTTGAGATGTTAGATCCCCAGAATTCACTTAGTAAATAACTTATTTTTGTAATTCTATTTTAAAAATTTGAATTTCTCGTCTTCAAGCCAAAAGCGCTCACTTTTGTCTTTATGTCGTATTTTCCACTTGGGAGGATCTTAAACGCTATTGGTTCGTTGTATCTTTTTAGTATGCTATATTGTAACGCTTCTTAAGGACATTTTGATGCTGTATATATACATACGCTTGATTTATTCTTGTTGTTATTGTTCGTGCTTCTGGTTGTTTGCAGAATATATTTCCCTTTTCCGAACTTGGACTTCTTCATCTAGTTAGCGGGGCTTGGACGTATCAGAATAGCTAGCGTATTGGTCTTTGGTCACAGAGTCTTTGTTCCGTTTTCAGACTAGGTGAACTCGTAATCGATTAAAACATAGCAATTACCAGTGCTAATGGTACAGTTAACCGATTCTAAGATGAAAATCAAGTACATAAACCTTTGAATCTAGTAACAATGACCAATTTAAATAGTGATTAATTCCGATGAGTTGATGACTAAAACGTTTTAAGGCAGAATTATATGCATTTAAGACATTTAATTTACGAGTAAAAAAATGCAAAAACATACACTAATTTCAGTCATTAATGTACAGAGTTTAAGAAAGTCTCATAAAGCAATGCTGACAATAGGATGGTATAATGCAACGGATATTTGTTTGTTAAGACCAAATCTCACTGTGAGGAGCATGAGATACCGTTTAGTCATTTAAATAAGAACACTGAAAGATGCTTAAGTTAAGATGTGAAGTCGCACAGGAACACTGAAGTGAATATTACTGATAATCGTGCAAACACTAGAGGTGATTAACATATAAAAGTATAATACAAAAGTTTAACAGTGAGTAGTGATAGTAACTCGTGGCGTGGGAGGAGAGAATCATATATGCAGTGAACAAATGGGCAGAGCATAGACGCAGAAGGCTGTCAGTTTTCTCAAATAAAGCTGCAAAACTCAACTGTGTTGGCGCACGCTGATTGGCTAAATCTTATCCAATCAGTGTTAGTCAAGACTTAGTGAACACTAGGAGCCTAATCATGTGAAAAACTATAAATATACTAGCGTTTTCGCTACTGCACTTACTCCCATTTAACCTTGTTATTTGGAACATAATCTTTTCCTGTTCAACCGTGTTCTGATTTGGGGACATGTCGAGTGAATCGGTGTGCGAGAATATTAAGCAATAGGAACAGCTGGGTTATAACCGTAAGAGAGAAATATAACAAACTGGAACACGATCAGCCGAGATTCTAACGGAGAATATCAACTCTTCCAATTGATCCTCTACGGTAAACTAACTCCTACGTATTCAATTAAAAACGAGAAGTGGTATGATGGGACGAAAAGACTAAACAACGTTGTTTAGTAATTGTGAATCTCATTCAAAATTACTTCCATTTCTAATTCAATGTGATAATTACTCATTGTAATATTTGTTTTAATTTCAGTGTGGTGATTATTCAACTGCGCCTGGATCCCCTCTGGGCTGCTGCCGGTCCCAAGCCCTGGGTAAAGGAGGAGGGTTAGGTATGGGGTTAGCGACTCCATCCCGTAGAAAACTAACTCGCTAAAAAACGCTAACCAGAAAAAATAATTGAAACCATTCAAACTTTGCCCTGGGAATTCGAAGGTCTTCATTTAGAAGAATTATGACGATGATTATTCAAGATATAATATTCTTTGTATTGAATTAACGTGAATTATGTTCAGCATGAAATGTACCATGTAATTATGTCAATTTCGTACATATGACTTCTTTCTAATCAATGATCAAGTGTGTGTAAAATCAATATATAAGAGATTGCATTTACGATTAGTGTCGTCATGTTAACGTTTAGAAAATTCATGAAAATTTCTTATTCTATCTAATTGAGCAATATTTAACTCAATGAATGCAAAATGCTACCGAAACCATTTAACATTTTATTCACGTCTAATATTTTGATGATGGTGTCAATGTACATAAGTGAACAGATCATATATATTAGGAATTATAATTATTTGAGAACTCAAAAAAAACATCAAACAAATTCATATTTCCCCTCTTTCCCTACATTGTATACAAAAAGGATGTATATATACGCTGTACGTACATCCATTATTATCTGATACATACAAAGATATCATCCAGCTGTCTAACTCATTAAACAATTTATACATATAGTAGTATTTGAACACGCTCAACCTAATAATGGTTGGAAGCTCACTGACTGATTTAATAATTATGCCACTACTTAGGAAATGGATAGAATTATACTCTTTGCAAAACTTGAAGTGGAGGTCACAGATTTGTATTGTTGGGAATTTCAAAGATCGAAAATGCAATCTATTTGCCAAAAATCAAAAGATTTAAGAGCAAGGACACTTCTCGCTCAATCACTTCGTTACAGGCAATTACCTTTACTGAATCTGATCTGATGTCGACGTTAGAATATCAATGATATAAAAATTGAATTAGAAATCATAAGATTATGCTTATGTTAATATATAATTTCACATACTTGGTTTGCAGTGTGACTTCCATCAACTGGATCCACATATGAAAAATTATCACAAAAATCACAAACGAACTGTCGTCCACTGACAGTGGTGTACACATGACCTGATATTCTATTATTGTCAATTAATTTCTTTAATTCATTCATAATTTCATCACCTTGACTTGATTCACAATTTTCATAATCGTATCTACAACAAGGATGACAATCATAAAAGAAAAAATGTAACTGGTATTTTTTGACTGACATAGTTTGACTCTTGGATTATTTGTTTGTTTTGATTTTCTACATACTTGATATTGATGAATTAAAAAGTTGATTGTTATTTTTAAATAAACAAAGTATTTGTTGACCGATGAACATCTGCTACCATGACATGGACCTGAACATCGTAATAACTCAAACAAGTTATATTGGTTGGAACATTCGTTTCTTATTTATTTTATTTTATTTATTTTAACACATAGATATTGGTACAAGGAGGCACCAAATACATATGCGCCACACAGATCTCATTTGATATGTGTGAGGGCTGTGATACTGCCTGGGTGCCCAAACTCGTTTCTTAGACCTGACTATAACAAGTAGAGCGGCTAGAGGTGGGTCAGATTAGAACCATTAAACTCGAGGTTCGCGGGCGAATTCGTACTTCTAACTGCAAAGGAGTTTGGATGCAGTAAGGTGCTTCTCTTAGACAACCAGAATCTGTCGGGATACAACCTGCCCAATATGAAAAGCAATGGTTACCGAAAGGCAAATTTGAAAATAGGTTATCTCACCTTGCTCTACGAATTCCCGTCACCGTTTGAATAGTACTAAGCAGTACTGAGTCAACACACAAAAAGATGGTGTATGACTGCCCCAAAACAGTTATGCTCATAGCCCTGCGTTCACATAAACAGGTCTTTATGACTACCGCTAATCCAAACTTTTTTTTACATCTCATAGGTAGAAGTATCCGACCACGTTGTGGGCAGTCGAGAACCAACTCATATGTCTAACACCAGTAGATCAGAAGATTTGTTCAATTCATGAAAGAATTGAGTTACTAAGGTTGCAATTAAGCGTCCACTATCTTGAGTCTGTAAGACCTTTACAACTCGTTTTTACTTAGCTATTAAGCGATGGAAAATGACTGTTACATTTAATTAACCTTTTCTTTAGAACCCCGAATCAGTGTTTTATACATACCTCCACTTCTATCTTTCTGTATTTATTACCCATGGTCCCATAAGAATCCATCACCATTAGAGGGCGATGACCGCGGTGAAAAAGTGAAGAAGACAGAAAAATTTCAATAAGAGACTGAGGAGAGTAACTGTTAAAGACTCATTACAGATGTTTTAAATAACGGTCCGAATAGAATAAATATATTAAGATAAAAAGTGATGTGATTCAAACGTTACTCTGAACTTTGTGAAATTAGTTAGCGTGTTTATTTGACAGACAGTGTAGATTGACCGATTTTGTTGTGACAGGCGGTGTCCGAAATCTGATACCGATACATGATGTGCTATGTGCTGATCCCCTCAAATGACTATTTGAGCGCAAACACAAGAGTGAGCGAGAAAGTATATTGAGCTGCCCAATAGAACATACAAGTACTCATTCATATATATGCCACTCTAACCCTTAAGAAACTGATCCATTTCACAGCCAATGAAGTGCACTTGACCTTTAGGTCACTTCTGATTGCCATCGATTGACCTTTTCGTTAGGCTACTTCTGAATGGCTCTCCACATCAGTTTTAGCATTTAACTATTCTAACATTCGAATCACAGATCTCAACCGGCAGAATGTATAAGAACTGAGAAAGTAAACAGTCATAAATTAGTAGCAGCAATAAGTTATTAGTGATCATAAACATTTCACGGAAGGTAAGGTTTACAAAGTATTAATACAAAGAGTTTTTACTCTCAGTTTGTTGATGTGAGATATAATGATACCCATATGTACCAGGACACATTAATATAAAGGGTTATAATTGACCTGTGATTTTATCTGGTATTTGGCACACGATAAGTGTAATGTTTTAGTTTGGTTAATTAAAAATCCCCCCGTTGTAACAAACGTTATTTACGACCTTTATTATGTTTAATGAATGCATTACATCCTGCATATTCGGTAAGTGTGATTTTCACCACATTTCAATTGAGGCCCGAAATTCGACTGTGTTTGGGTTTTGCATTCGACAAGTTAGGCTGTATTTCATTGACATTTCCATAACAAACAGTTGGGGATAACCACAAACACTTGATAAGAAATTTTCGGGGAAATTTACTCTCTGATATGTAAGATGCTCTGACTAAATGAACAGGAAATTGACCGAAAGTGCTGGATACAACACGTCTGCTGGGAATTGAAAACGTTGCGGATTACCTCAATTGCCCAGAGCATAATTTCGTGAATAACGAGGGTTTATACATCAGGAGAATAAAAACAGATTGAACCTATAGTGCATAATTATATTCTAGTTATCTATCCGAACAATGGTCCGAATGAAACATAAGGCATATATATATGTATATGAGACATTCACTATAGACAGAAAATGAACTATCTAACTGCAACGATATAAACAGTCAAGTGTAAGTAAATAAATAAATAGCCATTTTGTTCATTGAATGGGTCATGTGAAAACCCATCGATAAATAGAAATGAATGACCTGATGATTATTGTTACCAGCATTGTATTGAATGTATGTTCGGGTTTATCACGATACTAAAAACAAAGCCTTACAGATCAATACAATAAATTAAGGAAGGACAAGACATCATCATTGAAAATAAACACCCATAATTATATTAAACATATGTGCGAAAGAAATACGATGTACAATCATGTTAACTTATTGTTGGAGGTATACATTTAAGATTTATGGCAAAAATAAGAATTTAGTTCGTACATTTACCGCAAATGTTAAGAACTAAAATTGATCAGTCACCTTTGGGATAGGTGGATCCGAAATAATATCGAAACAGACCGCTCAGAATGTACATATACCAAAAGTGACTGATCAATTTCAGTAGTTAGTATCAACGGGAAGGTATAAACATTCAATTGACTTCCGTTGCAAAAATGAGTGACTATTTAGGCTCAGTAGCTCAACGGATAACGCGTTGGCCTTTTGAAGCTAAAGGCACTGTTTTCGAGTACCGATGTGAACATCAACATTAAGATGCAGGTACATCTAACTGATGAGTCCCAGACAGGACGCATTGTTAGCTAGTATCCAACTTAACTAAAAAAAAATATGAATCGTAGAAATATTTGAATTATGAGCTCCTTTCTTATATTCGACAAAATTATTTATCTTCAGCGAGTCACTGCGTTACAACAGACACGGCTGAACTCTAATGGTAACGACTTCTCACAAAAACTCCAGGAATTACCACTTGAAGCCAGTCACTAGTGAGCAAATGATGATTATTATCAGAAAGGTGGTTTTGAGGAGATTGTACTGATATAATCGATGAATTCATGAGTCGAAAACCTGGAAGCACTGGACGGCCGCTCCATCCCAGTATGGGACTCCTCAGCAGTCCACATCCACGATTGCATAAAAGAATATAATACAGGGAGAAAGAATTAGTTCGTAAAAAGGTATAAAGTAATTTAACCTCATGTTTTAAGGGAAGACAAACAGTGTATACACCGACGTCATTATGATCGATTCTGATCGATGTTACCCAGTCTCCAACTATTGGTTACGATAGTAAAGAGGGGGAAACGCACCCCAAACATGTGTTACCTATGCCTAATCATTGCCTACTTCAGCAAGCGATGCCTGATGCTATAAGAGTACGTTGGCAGAGTTAGGGGAGGTCAAACCAAAACATGGCATCAGTCCATGAAGCCACTGGGTGTTGGTCTGAGCCATGTTGGTAGATGCAGACTGACTGGTTGAGGTCCACATAATAACCAGGATCACTGGTTAGAAACTTTAGATGACATGGCTCTGAATCGTTCACAATGGTGTAGACGTATTCACAATTTATCTTCCTTTCAATCCTGAAATCCACGACACTCATGTAAACCCTTTTATCGCCATTTCAAGACAGTTCCTCAATAGTCAGTAGTTCACGTTATTCTCACTACTATATATATATATATATATATATATATATATATATATATATAATGGATAGAGACAGCGAAATACCCTCGAGAGAAATTATCACGATGGTCATTGCGCCTACAGGAGAATGTTTTTACGATGGATCAAGTACCGGGGAAGGAAAATATGGTTTTAGATTATCTATCATGAACAGAGAAAGAGCATTTACCCGAAGTGGTTTTCGGAGTCAACACAATGCAGTTTGATCCACGAACAACCGTTCGTTATCAGTAATTCGGTCTACGGTTGGTGGACATCAGGGAGTTGTGTCCTCATCAGTACCAGTTAGTGACGAAAAAGTACGCCATATGTTTAATGGACGTGGCTGTGATTCTTGACAAATGCCAAAGGACAGTGACAAATGCAATAATTAAACAGATTGTGGCGAACCACGACGTTCCAAAAAGGATATTAACAAATCGAGATCTATGTTTTGAGAGTGACGAGTTTACATAGTGCCTAGGTCAGCTGGATATCAAGGGAATCCGAACAACACCATACCAAAGGACTAACAGAACAAAATAATCGCACATTAAAGAACTGGCTAAGAGCAAGAAGGGAAACCGGGGAGACAGAACTACTGATGGTATTGCTAATTCATCGCGCCGCAGTACAAGGAACCACTAGAAGGTCGCTGTTCCAGTCGATGTTCAGTAAAAGAACGCGACTGCCAGGGGACAATAAAGCGTGGCCGCAGTAGCAGAGATGGTTGTTCACAAAGTGGCAGGACGAATGAGAACAAGCGGTGGGAAATGTGCGACAGAAACAATAGACGGATGTAAGGAGATTCAAACAGTATTGTTATGAATGGTAAATTTTGGGATCCATTTATGGACCAATAGTATGCGTATATTTTTATTGTTTAATTGTTAAATAACTAAACTATTCATATTCATGACCCTCTTATTATGACCTTTATTTTGACCTGTGAACTATTATCATACGACTTACCATTCTTGAGTTGTGACCTGTTTATTAATTACTATCTCCCACATTCACAGCCACATTTGGCTAAATCTTGTACAAATGTTGTTTCCTATTTTATGGTACGATGTGGTCTGTCTGGATGGTATATAAACCCAGTATTTTTGAAATAAGTGATTCATATTGTAGAGGCTGAGATTGGTGTTCTGGACTTAACTGGTTGGACTAGGCAGGAAGCAGGATTGATAAGTACTCTAGACTGCACACAAGGGTTTTGTGCGTCATTGATCCGATCGATAATTCACTGTTCTCTAACTGGCGGTATCATTACGTTATACATTAACAGGACACACAGGCTACAAGTTATAACAAGTATGAAGAGGAAAAGTAGATCTCAGATAAGGTGAAATGTAGATGACGAAAGGATACAGTAGGAGGTGGACTTGGCTCGCGAAATCTACTGTTCATGTGGGAAGAACTAAACGTAGTTACCAGGATACTAGGACTGGTATATACCATCCAGGAAGGCAACAAAGGGAAACGCGTGGATACTAGCCAGCTCTAAAAGTGGCTTTAGTGGATTATCAGGACGGAGCCGGTGACAAAAGAACCACGGAGGTCAGCATGACTTTAGGTTCAACAATTCCGTGGAAGTAGGCGAGTATAGAGGACGTTACCTACAGGATAGCTTGTAAGTAGTATGTTGTGGAAAGTGACGTCAAAGTTGTCACGGTCTTCAGACGTGATTAAGAGTTTCAGTACATTGAAAGCAGGAGGTAAACAAAACACTTGTTGACTAGACGAGAAGACAGTTTGGATTGTAGGATAGACCTCGATATGAAAATTGATGATCGAAGGCTGTGTAAACTAAATATGTAAACGCTGTGTAATTCCTCTTGATAAACAATTATTCTTCTAATGTTGTAAACTACTATTGAAAGTAACCTACCTAGTGAAAAAATATCTTCCGTATTTCTTCCAATGTTCCATTACAATTGACTCGACATCTACTGACAAACCAATTTGACTACGTTTAGCCAAAATAGACAACCATGCAAGTAATGCCCATAAACCATCTTTTTCACGTATATGATCAGAACCAGTGCCAAAACTTTCTTCACCGCATAAAGAGCATAATTTAGCATCCATTAAATTACCGAAAAATTTCCATCCTGTTGGAACTTCGTAACACTGCATTGATCGACTTTTACATACACTGTAATACAATACATCCAAATAGAAAGATGATATACAACTAAACTCTGGTTTTCACTAATACAGGGAGAATTTATACAGAAAAATAATACACTAAATGATTATTATTTTGAATACTGCCTCACAGTAGAATCCAACATGTGTATTACATTCCATATTGGACTAATCACATGGATATGTCAGCATGATGGTATTGAGAATCAAAACTACTATCTGTCAGTTCAAATACCAATGCATCATTCTATGGTCACTAGTTTAAGCGACTGAACAGCAGATATACTTGTAGTGTCTAGTACTATGTCAAGCCGAAATAGGTTATTTTAACTTCCAGACAGACCAGTTTATTCATTCTTCTTGAGTCACATTTTGACCTTGTCAATTATTCGCTTATTAACTTTCAGTATTTTTATATGAGCGTATGTCTTTATGCCTGTTCTACACATCACATGTCTGTAGCTTATTTTTGTCAGGCTATAAATACTAAGTCATGTCATCCTGTCAAAAACTACTTCCGACCACTTAATGTTGAACTACTGAGCCCAGATAACCGCGAAATTATATATCGAGTATGAATGTATTATTGAGGTTTTATAGTCCCGCTACAATTGATCAATTTATTTGTCATAGGTGCATCGAAAGATGATTGGCCTGACATAGCTCTTAGCCTTTTAGTACGTTTAGTACACCTAACAAGCGTGTTTCACCCTATTCAGCTGGATGTCCCTGGCACATTCATGTGTTGATATTCACGTTAATGACTAACAAACCCAGAAGGTTCATGGTTTGAAATCGATCACATGGAGTTGATATAACTCAGTTATATAGACATAAGACAAACAAAACTTACAGATTAAGTGCTCTACTGGTAGGCATACTTCGTGCAAATCCATGAACACCATTCTCTTGAAAATATTTAATACAATCTGTATTATCTGCAATCACAGCTAACGAATCACACGGTGATACAAAAAAACCGTGTCGACCAATCAACATATTTCGATCACCATCACCATCAAAAGCGGCTGCCATTGCAATTGATGAGTCAGCCACTACCATTTGGACAAGATCTGCCGCATAAGTCAAATTTGGATCAGGATGACCACCGCCAAAATCTTCTAATGGTTGAGATTTAATAGCTAACTCTGAATTTAATCCAAGTTGATTGCATAATATCTCATGAATGTAAGGCCCCATGACTTTATACGTATATATATCGTATGAAAGAAGGAATGATGAAAAAAGTGAAGAGCCATTAAAATACATCAAATATCAACTATATTCATTGAGAGGTACTGTGGTAACTATCCAGAACAAAGTGGGGATCATTTTAACGCTAATAGCCGAACTTATTTTCAAGGAAATGTGATAGTAAACCAATCAAAAGATGCTAATGGACGAAGCCACGTTGTGTCAATCAAAAAATTTCCAAAATGGCAAGTGCATGTGATTGATAGAGAAATGGCTTTATGTATGTGATCCAGTTTAGCACAAAAAAATTCCTTCCTTATTAATTGGTCTTCTCACATAGTAACCAGCTGAAGGCTTATACTTCGGGAGTTTGCTTAATAGTATCAGCTTCGGACGCCGTGAGTAATAACAAGATGAAATGCGTTAAATTTACACGTTCAGTAGATATTATGTGTAGTGTGTAATGTGGAGAAAATTTTTATTATTAAATTGCATCAATTAGGAAAGTACTAAGTTTGTTTATGGGGCCTAGTATTCTTGGACACTTCACTCCAATCGATCGGTTTTCAAATCAAAACACTACTTGAACATAACGTAAATATATTCCAAAGCAAAACGGCAAGTGACAAAATCCCAATGCGTGTCTAAACTGTACTCAGTATTCCAGAGTCTCAGCCCTAGGTGGGAATGATTCAGACGTTTTCAGTTTCATCTCAGCCCTTAAACAATATCGTTATTTGGTGCATTTTATATCACTCACGAATTTGTTGACTTCATTGATCGAGATCTTTTCCACATATAAAAGTATATAAATCCATCTGAATATTAGTCGTTAGTGTAGGCATAGAATTATTTCTGACATTGAGTCTACATATGAAGAGATCATTTTTAGTTTGAAAATGTACATTTGATATATGAGGACTGGCTGTGAATTATAGAACACTTACTTATTTATGCCTGTTACTACTCGAGGAGGACCATAGGACACCTATCAGGATTCGCCATCGAAACCTGTCCTAGACAATCCTTTCCAGTTGCTATTCTTCCCTTCCTTGTCTACCTCCAATTCCTGACGCAATGTGTTGTTTGACCTTCCTCTTCTACCCTTGCCTTCAGGATTCCAAGTTAGTGCTTGCCTTGTGATGCAGTTTGGTGATTTCTTCAATGTATGTTCCATCCGCATCCAACATCTTTTCCTAATTTCCTCTTCAACTGGAAGCTAGTTTCTTCTCTCCCATAGTAGGTTGTTGCCTATAGTATCCGGCAAACAGACATTGAGTATCTTGCGTAAACAACTGTTTATAAATACCCTTGCCTTTTTGATGATAGTTGTAGTAGTTCTTCACGTTTCACCTCTGTGTAATAGAACTGCATTGACGTTCGTATTGAAGATTCTGACAGTTGTTTTTAGTCCCATATGCTCTTCGATTGTAGAAATACTGCCCTTGATTTGCCGATTCATGCATTAACATCTGTATCATATCATCCTTGTCTGTCGATGATGCTGATTAGATACGTGAAAGCTTCTATCCCTTCCAGAGCTTCTCCATCAAGTGTGACTGCGTTGGTGCTCTCTGTGTTGTATTTGAGGATCTTGCTTTTCCCTTGTGTATGTATGTAATGCATTCAATCACTAGAGGATAGAGAAAGGGAGAGAGTAGACAGCTTTGTCCGACACTGATTCTCAATTGGAATGCGTGTGTCACATATTCTCCATGCACGACTTTGAAGTGTAATCCGTCATATGAATTCCGTATGATGTTGACGATCTTCTCAGACACATCATAATGTCGAAGTAGATTCCTTAAGTTCCTCCTATCCACACTGTCAAGAGTTTTCCCATAATCAAGGAAGTTGATGTATAGTGACGAATTCCATTCAATCGATTGTTGAACGACGATCCGTAGTGTCGCAACCTGGTCAGTGCACGATCGATTCTTACGGAATCCAGCCTGTTGATGTTGATCTTGAAGTTGGACGTCTACTGTATCTTCCACTCGGTTCAACAACACTCTGTTGAAAACTTTTCCTGGTACCGATAGTAATGTGAAGCCTCTGTGTTTCTAACACTTGCTGAGATCCAACAATATACCAGCTGAAGTACAGAAGTCAGACATCGAAGTAACTACAAACATACTTCACCTTCTTTTCAAAATGATTTGGGAGGAGGAACAAGTGCCGATGGACTGGAAAGAAGGACACCTCATCAAGATTCCAAAGGAAGGAGATCTTAGCAAATGTGAAAACTACAGAGGCATCACACTACTATCGGTACCAGGAAAAGTTTTCAACAGAGTGTTGTTGAACCGGATAAAAGGTGCAGTAGACGTCCAACTTCGAGATCAACAGGCTGGATTCCGTAAGGATCGGTCGTGCACAGAACAAATTGCAACACTACGGATCATCGTCGAACAATCAGTTGAGTGGAACTTGTCACTGCACATCAACTTCCTTGATTATGAGAAAACTCTTGACAGTGTGAATAGGAGGAACTTAAGGAAACTATTTCGACATTATGGTGTGTCTGAGAAGATCGTCAACATCATACGGAGTTCATATGACGGATTACACTTCAAAGTCGTGCATGGAGAATATGTGACACATGCATTCCAATTGAGAATCAGTGTCGGACAAAGCTGTTTACTCTCTCCCTTCCTTTCTTCTGGTGGTCGACTGGATTATGAAGACCTCAACATCTGAGGGAAAACATGACATACAATGGACGGCTCAGAACCAATTAGACGATTTGGACTTCACAGATGACCTAACCCTCCCATCGGACACACACGAACAAATGCAGATAAAGACAGCCAGTGTAGCAGCAGTCTCTGCATCAGTGGGCCTCAACATACACAAGGGGAAAACCAACACGAAGAACAGCAATCCAATCACTCTTGATAGCGAAACTCTGGAAGATGTCGAATCCTTCACATACCTGGGAAGCATCATCGATGAACAAGGAAGATTCGATGCAGACGTAAAAGCGAGGATTGACAAAGCAAGGGCCGCATTCCTACAATTGAAGAACATATGGAACTCAAAACAACTTTCAACCAATATCAAAGTGAGAATCTTTAATACCAAGGTCAAGGCAGCTCTAATGTACGGAGCTGAAACTTAGAGAACTACAACAACCACCAACAAGAAGATACAAGTATTTATAAATGGTTGTCTACGCAAGATACTCAATATCCATTGACTGGATACCATCAGCAATAGCCTTTAGTGAAAGAGAACAAACCAGCTTCCAGCTGAAGAAGAAATTAGGAAACGACGATGGAAATGGATAGGACATACATTATGCAAATCGTCAAACTGCATCACGAGGCAAGCCCTAACTTGGAATCCTGAAGGGAAGTAAAAAAGAGGAAGGCCAAATAACACATTGCGTCGGATAATAGAAGCAGATATGAAAAGAATGAATAACAACTGGAAAGGATTGCCCAGAACAGAGTTGGATGGACAATGCTGATGAGCGGCCTGTGCTCCTTCGCGAGGAGTAACAGGCGTAAGTAAGTAACCAGTTGTTACAGAATACTGGAGTTCGACATATCTCTATAAAAATGTTCATGGTACATTTCGATTCACTTTTGTTTTGTATTTGAGTAAATAAACATGAATGATTGTCGAATCTTGATAGCTACGTGATATCAGAATCAATTACTAATCAATATGAGGTGACTGGGAAATACGAATGATCGATCTATCAGCGTAATATAAGATATAATCCTTGTCAAATGACAATTATTGAAAGTATATGAAGACGGAATTAGTCTTTCACAAATTTCGGTGGTATGAAAGTGTCCCAAAAAAGATAGCCATGTTTACTCTAGTGTATATTGGGAAAAAAAGAAAAATTGATCGATTAACTTAGAATATTGGAAAAATCATTTATTTGGTAGAGATTAAAATGACCCGAGTGTATAAGATCATTGTGCGGGAAAAGACTACTAATGATCAAAAAGACACCAAAAAGAATTAAAAATGAGTCGTAGTGAGAAGTCGTGACCAGTGGATTTCAACCATGTCGGGTGTGAAGCAAATAAACACTAATGACATTATCATTTGGCCATTAATTTCTAACTTTATTTAGAATCATCTTTTTAAAAGTGGCATAACATAATAACAATTAAGCGAATGGATACTGATTGTATTATTTGATTACATCGTATAGGTGAGAAGTCAATCTGAGGATTTATTTGTACAGTAAACAAAATGAGATTAAAAACAAGAGAGAGAAGTAGAAGTAATAACAGCATCATTATCATTAGATACCATCAATTATGGATAATACAGTTCGAGAATGAATTTGAATGATAAAAGAACAAGATAATTTTGAAACTAAAGATCCAAGAGAAGACAAAGAGTGAATGTATTTAGTCAACTGTGACTGATTCTGAGCCCTACCAATCAACATTTTCAACCATTGGCTGCTATGATTAAACGGACATTATCCGTGTAGTTTGGGCTTAGCAATACGATCCAGTTCAACAGTATGGCCGAGTGTAGGGAGAGTCCGCTCTCTCTCTACGGATGCTTTCACATGGTCATGTGCATACAACCACTGACAGGGAAGTCATACTCACTGCTTTCTCAAACCAGGGGTGTTGTTTACTAAATTGAGGGAACGGAAACCGAATGTCCGGCGTTTTAACCGGGTTGGTGGATATGGAGGATCCACCTGGTGGAGTTGGAAAACCCTGATTTCAAACTAGTGGTAAATATGGGCTCCAGGATTCTGAGGGAACAAATGGCGTATGAACTAATTGTTGGTCACTAGCTACCATGGGACCGCGTCTCCTGACGTTGTTCCGCTGCCTTTTGGATCAGATCTTTAGGTCGAAGGCTCCGAGTGTGGCTCCCTTAGAAAACCACCTGCTTCGGTTTGGGCACGCCGGTAGTATCCCAGCCTCCGCACAAATCGAACGATTTATGTGGCGCATGCCTATCTGGTGCCTCCTAATATTAATAATAGGTAGTCTATACCTATCAACATACGTCAGTCCAATCGTCAATGCCCCCATAGACTCATACCACATTTTGGTTTCAGTCAGTCAGTCAGTAACAACGTAGAACTTCGTACGTACGTACATCAGTTCGAGTTGCCATACCACATTAGCACACAGATGCAGTGGTCGATTCAAATCCCATAGTCGTAGAGGTAGTAAAAGTATAAGCAGCAATCGGAAACATTAGGGTTTGAAGGTGTTATTCAAGGAGTATAGTCCAGTGAAATAAATTTGGGAAGAGAAAACAAGACATGAAGAATTCACAAGATTAGAATTGGGGAGAACACAAGGAGTGGATGCACCTGCACCATTGCAAACGATTTTGAGCTATGTCATTCAACGTCTCTAACCATCGGTGGCTATCATCTCGTGGTCCCCAACCAGGTAGTCTACACCTACCAACATGACTCAGTCTACTTATCAGTGACTTCATGGACTTGTGCCATGTTTTGGTTTGGCCGCCCCTAGCTTTCTTCCAACCTACTTCTATAGTACTGAACATAGCACGTCGAGGTAGTCGGTCGTTGGGCATAAGTAGCATGTGTCCCAGCCATCTCAACTGATGAAGTTTCACTACTTCATCAACTGATGGTCCCAGGATATACGAGCAATGTTTCGAAGACACCTATGATCGAATACTAGTAACCTACGAATATCTTCTACTCTTACCGGCCATGTTTCACTGCCATAACGTAGGACGGGACAAACTGCTGCGCAGCAAACACGTTCTTTGGTTGATAGACGGATATCTCGCCTACGCCATAAATGACGCAAGTTGGCAAAAGCTAGTCGAGCCTTCTGTATCCGTGCTGAGATTTCGTCACACACTAAACCACAAGGGCTGATGAGACTTCCAATATAAGTGAAGCGGTCGACACACTCAACTACTTCACTCCCTATCATTAGTTCGGGTGTCAATGTGACCCAATCCTGAAGCAACATTTTGCATTTCGAGGGAGAGAATCGCATCCCGAACATGCTTGCATTGTTGCTTAGAGTGGTCAGAAGACTCTGCATTTTGTCAGCGTCTTCACCAAACAGAACTATGACATCGGCATATTCTAAGTCAACAAATGAACCTCCCGGTAGAAGTTCAACCCCTGGAAATCTAGACGAGGAATGTGTTATCTCTAAAAGTACATCGATTCCCAGTTGACTATGAACACCGCTACCAAGAAACACGTGCCAAAGAAATCAGAAGGCGAAGGTTGAACGTAACCAGATTTATTTCGTTGGCGATCTCGTGGTATTGAACGAATACCAAGATCGTGCCAAGAAATGGTACAAGCGAAAGCAGGAGAATGGAGTACGTGCGAACAAAGCCAAAAACCACGGACCAATGATGGACGGTTATGGAAGCACAAAATGGCTGTAATTAGCACAGATAAACAAAAGCACATTAAAACAAGCACTGGTACAGTTGGTTATAATAATGATTGTTTTCATTAAACCAGTCGTGTTCTCATGATAAAAGTGAGTCACCACAGGAGCCCCCCACCCGCTAGAAAGGGTTTACACTTTCGATAAATAGCGGTTTAAATCGTGGGATTGATCGGCTGACGAGCGATTGTAGGACGGAAGAATCGGCAGAACAGGAAAGCGATCGTTGATAGTCGAGTTGCCAACGTAGTTCTTTTTCGGAAAACGGTAACAGGGGTGGCGTGCTGTACTTGTTGCTTGAATTGGCGTGCCACACCAGAGTGGTTTGTATGCAGAATCTGAAGATTGCGTTCGTAAGGGACGCGGGCCAGAAACGCTGCAGACGTAGGACGAAACCACCCCTAGCTTTCTTCCAGCCTATTCTTGCATCAAAAAAGCCCGTCGGGGTGGGCAGTGGTTGGGCATGCGTAACACGATGCCCAACCACCTCAGTTGCTGAGAATTCGCTACCTCATCAATCGATCCACCATCCTTATCCTGTTCCTAACCCCGAGATTGTTGACTGCATGGTCCGAAAATATACGAGCGATGCTTCTTACACACCTGTGATCAAATACTAGTTACCTATGAATATTCTCTGCTTTTAATGGCCATAATTTACATCCATTAATTAGAACGTAACAAACGGCTGTGCAATAAAATCGCCCTTTGGTCGGAAGACGGATATCTCAACTACACCACAAGTAACGCAAGCTGGTAAAAGCCAACCGAAACTTCTGAATCCACTCCGGGATTAAGTCAGACACCAGACCATCAATGATGATGAGAATTCCGTGATGAATGAATGATGTATTCAACTGGCTCACTCCCTATCACTAATTCAGGTGATGACGCAATTCAATCTTGGAGCAACATTTCGTCTGAGCTACAATCAGTGGGAGCATAAGCAGATACAACGAAGAGGCAACGGTGTTTGTCCTAATCTTTTTGAGTTCCTACTGTCCTGCTTAGTAGGATAGCGCACAAGTGACTGTCTATTGAAATCCAGTCTAGGAGAGCCTGCTCCGCTTTTAAAATTAAGGCTATACCTGAGCTAGTGAGACCACTTGACGTAGCAGTGGGGATTTCAGATACGCAAAACGTAAAACTTGTCGGTTCTTTACATTGACAAAGTGGGGTCAGAGAATGAATGTACTTTGGCCCCGTGTGTGTTTCGGAGACTCAGCAGACACTGGTGGCGCGAGATTCTAGAGTCCTAGCTAAAGAAGTTTGCTGTCCTATCTGACACAAGATTTGAACATTAACGGCTAGAAGCTGTAGTTTAGTGTGGTTTCAGGATACCAGGGATAACATTTCGTGAACTCAAATTATTAGCATTGGTGGCGCATGGTGATAATGATGAATGAGAAGAGTTATTCGTGTGGGTGGAAGAATTATTAAGAGGTGAGGGAGGTACTCGATTGCCAACAAGATGACCTCGGGTGCTAATAAAGGTATGAAGGCAGTTATCACTTCCCGGCTGCTCACACCGTGGAAGGTGTGAAACACAAACCTTGATGAATCACAACTGACGTAAAAGTGAAGTACTCACTGTCAAATAATTTGCTCCAAATTTTAATATAATAACAGTTTCAAGAAATGTCACTTTCAGTTAAGTACACTTAATCCCTGACGTTATGACACGGAAAAGTCGATGGGAAACACACATTTATGCATAATCTAGAAACTTTGATATTGCTAGGTACTTTTCTTCGTAAACTACAATTCCTTTGATGATTAAACCGCAAATATGAAATAAATCTCAGAAAAATGTTTCCTCGAAATAATGAAAATAGAAAGAGTTAAGTCATTGATTTGATTGTTGATAAGCTCACACTAAAAAACGAAAGACCAAGCCAACAACAGTTGTAAGTGTCGAGACTCAATTCCGAAGTTCTAGGTAAGAGACCACATGACTAATTGAGAGTTCAACCATGTAGGGGAACGTGAAACAGATAATTATCGACGACATCGAATTATTGCCACATACACAAACACAAATACACCCCAGTGCCATGAATATGTAGACCATTAAAGATCTAACGTACTGGTGCTCTATGTAAGATTCAAAGACCTTGAATCTCATCCAATTGGAAGTCATGTTTTAAAACCCCCAATGAGTCTCACAAACTCTCAGCTAGATAGTTACGTTGGAAGGCTTCTATTATCACTTTAGACAACGTCATAAGTACCAACTTCATGTATGGATACAAACTATGATAAGACATTTGTTCAGTGATCTTTTATTTATCCAGCTCACTACAGTGTCTATGATGACGAGTATCTAACAACAACAAAAACAAGAAATAATAATAATAAGCCACCTAGCAACAGTAATAATAATAATTATTATTATTGTGATTATTATTATAATAAATAATAAATTCTCTCACCTCCGTTAAGACCACTGACAAGCAATTTAAATGGTTCACGCTGATGTGAACCAGTCAATAGTGTTTTAATAGCATCAAAATCGAACAATGTGCGCATGTAATCGGCATAATCAGAAACACTGCTTATGATCGTTACCTTATCGTGAATAAGATAAAACAAAATGTTTGCTTTCAAAAATAATAGGCATCTAACTGATATTAAAATATATTCATAAATATTAATAGGGGAATGATCAAACCGAACGAATATTCAGTGTAGGGGAATTGGTGGAGATTGTAGTATTTTCATAGTTTAAATCATTAACTGATCTTAGTTAAACCACCATTGAAAATCTGGAGGCAGTGGGTGGTCGTTTTGAGACTTCCCAGCAGTGCACATCCTCAACCCTGCATGGTGGTCTAGCTAAGATTAGTTCGTGATACAGAAAGTATAAAAATTCTATAATCTCAAAAAAACTTACAGTTTTGATAATTACCAGGGATTAGCTTAAACATACATATACTGGAGTTTTCGTGAGAAGCCGTGACTAGTGGAGTTCCAACCATGCCGGCTGTGAGGCAGTTATCCACCGTAAACAATGGATAAGTGTCGTAAAACTGTGAATTGATTGAAGTTAGACTAGTACACCACTAGACCTTGGTTCAGTGGTCTACAGATTATGGGTATTACGTAGAACTGAGGGTTTTGGGTTCGATTACCGGATACGGGGTCATGGATGTATGCTGGTACTAGGATTTTCTAGTATTCAATGGTGGTATAGGTCCGTTCGTGATTTAAGCTATGATAAATAAATTTATGAAAACTGTTAAAGGTAAATTGCATTTTTTTCAAAACCCCTAGCCAACATTTAATGCATTCCAACGTTAAATATAAATTATAGTGGGTTGAGTATACCGAGCTGGTGAAAAACCCATTATTTCTTCCAAACGTCACAAGTATACCGTCTACATGAAAACTATCTAGCAAAAAAAATACTACAACATAATTTTGCATGTAGACAATAAAAGGATGGGAATCCAAATATGATAACGTCGAAATATTGAACAGATGGAATATAAATAAAGTTAGATTTCCAAGGGTTTAACACTTTAATTACGCACCAATCAATAGCAATACATCGATATTGAACCGATCTATCAATTAGTAAGAAAAAGGATAAACAACTTCAAGGTCAGAGGTCAGGTTAAGGGTGAAAGCGACCAACATAAGCATGTAAACGACGGCTATACAATAAAGAGACAAGAGCCAGCCAAATTCTCCTAGGTAAACAGAACAAACTGTTAGCCAGTTGTGAAGAAATCCTAATGGTGTTGTCTAAAAGAAACAATGAAACCCTCACGACTGAACCATCCAGCTCAGGGAATATAACACCTACAAACTATTTCTATGTTTAGTGTTTGTTTTCACTTAACCTATTTAACAAGTGCATGTTTACGTTTTACTCAGCTTTTGTGTAGGAGTTAGTGTTACTCCATAGTTGATTAGTATCCAATTAGCTAAAGAACAGAACTCGAACCTCCGATTTAATTGGTTGGAAGTTGGAACCCGTTAACTAAAACGTAATCCTAGAATCCACTGAATAGTATATACAAATTCCAGGTTTCATTCATATATCTTCCGCTTGCTTACTAAGTTGGAGCATTAAGGAGTTCAGAGATAAATGAACTGACAGAATAACTAAACGTCTGTTAATCAAAACAAAACTGAATGTTATTGTAATTCAAATTTGAAATATTTATAATGGTATGAATAGTTCTCATTAAAAAAACGCGTATAAAATAATAGTGAAAGTGAATCAAACATGACTATATCAACTAATCAATTGCAGGAATAAAACAGGAGTCTAACAACACGCTGAAGCCAGATTTACCAAAAAGTAGTTATGGCAGCAATCGATCAAAACAAACCGACTACACAAAAATGTTTGAAACATAGCATTATCTACTATGAAACAATTAACTACTTACTATGGGAGTTTGGCCATTGGATAAAGTATATTTCGTAGAACCAATACAGTCCAACTGAATATTTAATGGTTCTTTAACAGTTTTATAAGAAGTCAACTTTTCACTTTGTGCAAAAATAGCATCTGTTAATTTCTCCGGTGCTGGTCCACCATTCCCACAATTGTACTTAATACCAAAGTCTGCATTTAGTCCACCAGGATTATGACTAGCTGTTAGAAGAATACCACCATTCAATTGATGCTTACGAATTATGAATGATGCAGCTGGAGTTGACAGGATTCCATTTTGACCAACAAACAATTCAGATACCTAAGAAAAGAGTGAGAAATAAATTATGCATTATCTATTAGTCATGAGTCTAAGCGGTTACTCAATTTACAAGTGAACATACAAAACTAGTGAATTTAGAGCCAAGGCTAAACTAGTAGGTTCATCATGAGCAGACAGAATGATTGATATTAGAATTCGAAATAATCAGAGATAAATTCACTTATTCAACTCCATTTATCAAAAATTATAAAAACTTAGCAGAAAAGTCTACGGTTACCTTGCTAAAAGGTGTTCATTTCTTCAAGGTCATAAACACTTAATCCCATATATGTAGTGCCATCCAACAATAGGACTTAAGCACTTTACGGTGATAAATTTGAAGCAATAAGACATATGATAATGATTTATAGATTAAACGAAAGCTTAGAAATAGGAGAATATAAAAATACAACAACACAAGCGTCTACTAATTATACAATAAAAAAGCATAAGTAATGGTCTTTGTATGATGGTCCCACGAGGTAAACTTCCTCACTATTTGTCCTATCATATCACAAAGACCGACCTAAGAAAATCATTGACAATTAGGAAGCCCTGTACAACCGTTTCACCTGAGTACAGAACTCCACAGTAGTAGTGTGCATTCACAATCCCATTAGGGATCGATCCCAAAGACACTTGACCATTCGAATTAGTGGGTAGTTGTTCAATGGGAAAACTTCAATTTCGATCAACAAGATGGACAATCAATACAGTTGTTGGCATCAGTTTCGTTCCAGTCGTGTCCGAACTCCACCAGTCACGGCTTCTTCCTGGGACTTCAGAAACATCTCGAAGTCACTAGTAGTCCTAATAGGTGAGCATCTGTCGCAAGACTCGAAGGTACTGGGTTCGATCCCTGATGGGGTTGTAAATGCCTGGTATTGTCAATGTGGAACTCCGTACTGGGAGGAAGGAGCTTTCCAGTGTCCATCGGATTCTTAATGGTATCACAAAAGAGATCAGTCTATTAAAATAGACTAACATCATCAACATAGAACCTGGTGCAAACGTGCATCGACCCAAGTTTCCATACTTAATTAGCACGACGAGACAGATAATTCAACCTGGAAATTAAACCAAACCCCACGAAACTTCAATAAACAAACAATTTTTATTTTAAAAAATGGAAACACACCCCATTAGCTAAACATATTGGGATAATGATACTTTGTAATGATTCTCGTACAAAATACCGACCGTCTCCGCCTAAAAGAAGTCGAACTGGTTGAGATTTGTTCAACAATTCACCAACAGCTGCATTTAAAATAGATTGTATGAAGTTCTCAGTGTACCCATGTTGCATAAATGTTTTTGTTGGTTTACGTAAACCACTTGTACCTGGTTTCTGGTCAGGAAACGATTTGGTTGGCTTTATATCGATTGTCAACATTTGTGACATCTATAAATGGTTAAAAAAAGGGAAAGTATCAGTAAAGCTATTGGAAGTGCCCTAGTTGAGCGTGCACTTATCTTGGAAGTCTCGTCAGCCCTTGTGGGTTGGTATTTGATGAAATCTCGACTAGAACTCAATTGCTTTGGGTCAACTGGCGTTATTTGTAGAACATATGGGATATCAATATGTCAATTAAGTGACGAGTTTGCTACGCTGAAGTGCACTCCGGTCAAATTTATATCTGTGAAACGAATTGATTTATTGATTTGAACACATAAACATTGATAAAAGGAGCACCACGCAAGTCACTTGATTTGTATGTGAACTATGATATTGCCCGAGTGCCCAAACCGAAGCAGGTGGTTTTCTAAGGGAGCCACACTCGGAGCCTTCGACCTAAAGATCTGATCCAAAAGGCAGCGGAACAACGTCAGGAGACGCGGTCCCATGGTAGCTAGTGACCAACAATTAGTTCATACGCCATTTGTTCCCTCAGAATCCTGGAGCCCATATTTACCACTAGTTTGAAATCAGGGTTTTCCAACTCCACCAGGTGGATCCTCCATATCCACCAACCCGGTTAAAACGCCGGACATTCGGTTTCCGTTCCCTCAATTTAGTAAACAACACCCCTGGTTTGAGAAAGCAGTGAGTATGACTTCCCTGTCAGTGGTTGTATGCACATGACCATGTGAAAGCATCCGTAGAGAGAAAGCGGACTCTCAACACTCTTCACTATACCTCGGCCAAGTAGTTTTCAAGATATATTGATTTTGATAGTGTAATCAGAAAGCAAAGACTATCAGAACTACATCTTCCTATTAGACAATCGATATTTATTTGACAGCAACAACTACAATGTATAACCTGTAACAAAACTCTGATATTTGAATAGAATTCACACGTTAAATTTATAGACCATGGGTAACGCGACTGACTTTACATCCCCTTTGTAGGATAATGACTGTAAATACCGTAGATTAACAGATATTTACTTTTCAGACTTATTTATTTATTTCAACACATGAATACAGGTAAAAGAGGGCAGCAAATATATATGCGCCACACAAAACAATGGAAATGGGAAGAGAAAAACAAGAGGGTAAGGAGCGTAAAAAAAAGAACAATAACGACTACAGATTAGTGTATGGTAGTGAAATAATAACAATAATAATAATAATGGGGGAAACAGAAAGGAACAACCAGAAGAAGTCTTTCAGTTAAGGAAGTTAAAACCACTTTTTATGGAGTAAGTAAAAGAAGGTTACAGCAGGATCGCCACTGGCTTCTATTCTGAGCCATATCTGATAACGTCTCTAGCCACTGTGTAGCACAATCTCTCAGACCCCAACCAGGGAGTCGTGAAGGACCAACACAAGCCAGCCCTTTGCAGGTTTCTTTCATACCATGACACCATGTCATACACCGACCACCTCTCCGATTTTTCCAACCAGTCCCAGAGTCGGCAAATAATGCACGACGTGGAATTCTCTGGGACGACATTCGGAGAACATGTCCAAGCCACTGAAGTCGGTGTTTCAAGATGGTGACATCGATTGCATTATCGTCTCTGTACCCGAAACACACGATGCCGAACCTCTGCATTACTAACATGGTGTTGACACTGGATGCCGGCAATTCTTCGGAGACAACGATGATCAAACACAGTCTTCTAACATCCTCAACTCGGAGAGGTCAGGTGTCACAAGCATGGAGTAAAACTGCTCTCACCGACGCGTTGTACATCTGAACTCTTACAGTCGGACTTACATCACGAAGGAGCCAAAGATGGCCCAGATTGGCACAAGCCGCTCTAGCTTTCACTATACGTGCATTGATCTCATCACTCACGCCACCACCAGCACTTATGCAGCTACCCAGATACACGAACTTCTCGACTACTTCTATCTGCTCACCATCCAGGGCGAATACAGGATTAGAATCCTGTCAGTCTTGTAGAAGTACTTTGCACTTCGGAGGTGCAAAGCACATACCATACCTACGGACACTGATTGCCAACTGATTAAGTGCGGATTGCATGGTTTGGGCATTATCGCACAGTAACACAATATCGTCCGGATACTCAAGGTTGAGAAGTCTTTCTCCAGGCAACAGATCCACACCACCATTACTTACATTCATCAGAGCTGTTTCCAGAATGTCATCGATGGCAAAGTTGAAGAGGAATGGTGAGATTGGGCAACCCTGTCTAACCCCACTGCTCGAATGGAACAATGGAGAGAGGTGGTTGTATGCCCTCACTCTGCCTGAGGTGTTTTTATATAGGGCTTTTAGGATGTTAATAAACTTCTCACGCACACCCTTCTTCAATATACAATCCCAGATAACAGTCCTGTCCAACGAATCGAAGGCAGCCCTGATGTCAAGAAACACTACGATTGTTGACCTTTGATAAGTATGGCGATGTTCTAACATTTGGCGGAGGGTGAAGATATGATCAATACATCCTCGAACAGAACGAAACCCAGCCTGCTCCTCGTGAGTCAATCTTTCTCGGGTTTTGAACAACCTACGAAGAATGACGGAAGCCAATAGCTTGGACGCAATCGGAAGTAGACTTATCCCCCGATAGTTGTTACAGGAACGATGTGAACCCTTTTTAAAGATAGGGACAACTATCGACTCATTCCATGACTTTGGTACACTCTCTAGCTCCCAGACCTTTGTAAACAACGTCGTCAGTTCCTTAGTCATAAAGTCGGATGAGTTGGAAGAGCTTCCAGTAGTTACCAGATGCAGCTGCTGCTTCCAGCTCATTAACACGCTCCTACCACCATGCTTCTCGGTCCTTACGCAAGATTTGCCCAATTTCCTTATGTAACATCCTTCGTTTATGGTCAAACTCACAATCACCCGGAGTAGACCGACAGGCTTGAATGAGCTGTAAGGAGCCTGAAGAAACTCCGTGCTTATAAGCGAGACCTTTTGCGAAACCGCAAGCGACTTCACTCGCCATTTTCATGGAGTCATTAAGTCGCAACCAATGCTCATCTATACTTTTCCGTGGAGTGGTAGCTAGCCTAGAGGCTAGCTCGGTTCGATACTTACTAGCAACAGGAGTTGCAACCAACTTGCTAACATCAATCCGTTGGTGGTGGTCACTTCGTTGGCCACTGAGAAGTAAGGTAAGATTGGCGCAGACCAAGGCATGATCAGAGTCCAGATAGGTACTCCAAAAGGAGCAGCAGTCTTGTACACAATCACGTCAGCGGTAGCTGATCGCGATGTGATCAATATGAGTTCAGGCTTGGGATGCAGAGGGAGGACGCCATGTGGCACATCGGCGATGACCGTGTCGGAAGTCAGTGCTAGCCAGAAATATGTTGTGGTCTATGCACAATTGCAGTAGACGGTCCCCGTTATCTGTCCTGCGACCAACGAGTCCCCATCGGCCACCTAAACGACTCTCTTCTGTGCCTAGACGCCCGACCTGAGCATTCAAGTCTCCGGCTAGTACTACAATATCTGTCGAACGCACTTTCTGGAGAAGAACAGATAATTGGTGGTAAAACTCATCCTTGATCGCATCCGGGCTGCAATCTGTCGGGGCATAGGTGGAGATGACGAAAAGACATCGTTTCTCACGCCGATTTCTTCTCTCTTTGATGGAACTTTCTATTCTAACAGCACATAACCGACTGCTAATGGGGGTCCAATCTATTAGTGCTGCCTCAGCTCTAGCGTTTAGTGCGACACCAACGCCTGCAAGACCAGACGAAGATGCCACAGGGTATCCGGGTAAGCGCACGTAAAACAAGCTTTTCGAAGCGACAGATGTAGAGCGAATTTGTGGTACTTCACCAGAGTCTTGAATACGGGTCTCGGACAGACAGCAATCATCGATATTAAGACTTTCTAAAGACATAGTCAGCCCTATTTGTTGTCCGACCTGCATAAGTGTGCGAACGTTGAAGGCAGCCAGTTTGAATGGCGCACGTGGTTTCAGAAAAACTGCTTCAGTATTCATATTCGATGGTAACATACAATTTTCAACCGGATAGTGACTCGAGAACGTTTAGATAGAGTCGAATTTCCACTATAGACGAGCTGCTGTCTAAGTCGAAAAGTAAGGATAGACAGAGTGGGAATAAAAGAGAGTGAATAAATGACGTAGTAAATAATAATAATAATAATAATAATAATAATAATAATAATAATGTGAATCGTTTGATTATTAATCGAAGCAAGAAAAGTGTTTTCCATAATTATCGACAGTTCATCATATTTGTGTGAGGGCTGTGATACAGTCCCCGTGCCCAGACCGAAGCAGATGGTTTTCTTAGGCCACACCCCGACCCTTTGATCTAAAGGTCTGATCCACAAGGCAGTGGAGCATCGTAAGGAGATGCAGTCCCATGGTAGCCGGTGACCAACAATTGCTTCATGCGCCATTTGTTCCCTCAGGATACTGGAGCCCATGTCCACCATTGATTTGGGATCCGGTTAAAGCGCCGGACATTCGCTTTTCGTCCTCACATTTTCGTAAACAACACCCGTGGTGTGATAAGGGAGTGAGTAGGACTTTCCTGGCAGAGGCTGTGTACGCTTGGCCATGTGAGAGCATTTCGAGAGGGAGGGTGGGTCCACCACACTCTCGGTCATACCGGGGCAATAGAGAACACAACAATGACCACTTCTCAGTGATCAGTCAACGTGCATATCTCAATCGCAGCCTGAATAGCACAGTATTGACGTCTCACATTAAAGAACTTGATCTCGTCGAGTTCGAGCTTCACAAGGAGTATTAGTTGCCACAGAATTGTAGACGGGACTTATGGACAAGATACAACTAGTACGAACCACTGAACCGCCTAAATTCTACACATAACGCGAACGATACCCAGTCACTTAGACTATTGCTAGTGACCGGCACACATAGCGTCTTGATCGATAGAATTCTATCAGCACAAGACAAGCTTAACGGTTGTCCAGCAATTAATGCAGAACCCAACCACAACACATTTTGGTTTTTATCAACCAGAGTTAGTATCAATAGCCCCACACACTTAGAATATAACTCAAAGTTAACTATATTCTATACATGGTAAATGTGTGAATAAATAAATAGATAAATACATATTTCACAATAACAGAACTCAATGAATGAACCAACCAGTCATACCACATGACAAGAATAGATTTGATTCACAATCAGTAATATAAATAAAAAAGAACCAGACGAAAACTCACAAAACAAACAGAGGGTGAGATAAAAAAAATCAAAACAAAAGATTAGTGTGGCATATGATTTATGCATAGATTTATTAAACATGAATAGATTTCCCTTCTTTTTCACTATTTACAACAAAAGATTGAACGATTTCTCTCGCGCGCGTTTGCTCGTTTGTTTATTTCTTTGGTAATGGTTTACTAGAACCAATATTAGCCAATGAATCTGCTTCTTCATTACCGTGTACACCTTGATGACCACGAACATGGTACTGAATTAGAATAGAGAAAAAAAAATTGAGAAACAAAGGGAGAAGCAATGAAATAACAGGAAATATTTGGGGTGCGTACTAGACATAAAGTGGGTAGAAGTTTTCTAGTCACACACACACACACAATACTTGCTCATTCCAATTCCCCATAAATTTATCATAGAGGACAGTTCGATGAACAAGCGAAGTTTAACATCGTGAAAATAAATTGAAATAAAATATCGGTCGGCATAGTGAAATGCAATGGTGTAATATGACCTAGTATTGATTACAAAAAACATAAAATTGTTGACTAAAACCCTAAAACGAGTTGATATAAGAAAACAAGATCATTACCCTGGAAGAATAGGCTTTTTGTATCTAAAATGAAAACTGTTCTTGACTGATAACCTAAATGACTTGACACTTGTTACATACGAAATCACACTTATAAACCATTTTACAGAAAAATTAGCATGCTAATGAAGGATTTGAAATATAAGGAATGATGAAATGGATTATCTATTATTCAGTTTAAACACATAAATATTGGTAGAAGGGGGCAGCAAATATATATGCGCCACACAAAACAATGGAAATGGGAAGAGAAAAACAAGAGGGTAAGGAGCGTAAAAAAAAGAACAATAACGACTACAGATTAGTGTATGGTAGTGAAATAATAACAATAATAATAATAATGGGGGAAACAGAAAGGAACAACCAGAAGAAGTCTTTCAGTTAAGGAAGTTAAAACCACTTTTTATGGAGTAAGTAAAAGAAGGTTACAGCAGGATCGCCACTGGCTTCTATTCTGAGCCATATCTGATAACGTCTCTAGCCACTGTGTAGCACAATCTCTCAGACCCCAACCAGGGAGTCGTGAAGGACCAACACAAGCCAGCCCTTTGCAGGTTTCTTTCATACCATGACACCATGTCATACACCGACCACCTCTCCGATTTTTCCAACCAGTCCCAGAGTCGGCAAATAATGCACGACGTGGAATTCTCTGGGACGACATTCGGAGAACATGTCCAAGCCACTGAAGTCGGTGTTTCAAGATGGTGACATCGATTGCATTATCGTCTCTGTACCCGAAACACACGATGCCGAACCTCTGCATTACTAACATGGTGTTGACACTGGATGCCGGCAATTCTTCGGAGACAACGATGATCAAACACAGTCTTCTAACATCCTCAACTCGGAGAGGTCAGGTGTCACAAGCATGGAGTAAAACTGCTCTCACCGACGCGTTGTACATCTGAACTCTTACAGTCGGACTTACATCACGAAGGAGCCAAAGATGGCCCAGATTGGCACAAGCCGCTCTAGCTTTCACTATACGTGCATTGATCTCATCACTCACGCCACCACCAGCACTTATGCAGCTACCCAGATACACGAACTTCTCGACTACTTCTATCTGCTCACCATCCAGGGCGAATACAGGATTAGAATCCTGTCAGTCTTGTAGAAGTACTTTGCACTTCGGAGGTGCAAAGCACATACCATACCTACGGACACTGATTGCCAACTGATTAAGTGCGGATTGCATGGTTTGGGCATTATCGCACAGTAACACAATATCGTCCGGATACTCAAGGTTGAGAAGTCTTTCTCCAGGCAACAGATCCACACCACCATTACTTACATTCATCAGAGCTGTTTCCAGAATGTCATCGATGGCAAAGTTGAAGAGGAATGGTGAGATTGGGCAACCCTGTCTAACCCCACTGCTCGAATGGAACAAGGGAGAACAATGGAACAATCGAGTCATTCAGATTAGTGGCCAGATTGTAACTTGATTGATTGGATTTGATCAGCACTGAAAAGGACTTGAAATAAGTAACATCAGTCACTACTCAGTGGTCGAGCAATTGTAAATACTAAGTTCGTTTGTTCATAGCCATCTATGTCAAATAATGGAAAAGATTTGAATACGGAGTGGGAATTTAAAACACAGTATTGTGTATACATGTTTTTCTTTCGGTTAACATATTTACGATAAAATATTTCGACGAGATTCTATTCGATACTTTCGAATGATATATTAGGAAATATTGTGTGACTAAATTCACTCTACTGATCAATCAATCAATTAACAACAACATATAACTGGCTTTGCATGTAAGTAGTCAACATTGCTTAGATAATTAAAAGAAAAAAAACATTATAATTAGTTAACCAGATAAATGTGATTAATACATTTTTGTGGAGCGATGGTGATTTAGTTATTATAAATACCTCAGCTTCCAATCAATAACAAGTAAATTCTAATCTCATTTCACCTACTTTGATTTGAAAAGTCAAGTAGTAGCATCACTACTCTTCACATACTGTTGGCAGGATAAAGTTGTGACTACTGTCAGGAGATTAACGATACTGTAATGTTTGATCAGGAAAATGAACGAAATATCAATATTTTAACCTATTCAGGTTTAATTATCGCTCGTTGTCTGTGCAGCATTATAAAATTATTCCCGGAACAATTGATTAGTCGTCATCGTGATGTCAATATTCTACCATTCTTAGATCAATTAGCTGATGATCCCAATCAAAATGTACGTATTGAAGCAGTTCAAGCAAGAAATTTATGGTTGATCTGATTATTTGATTAACTATTGAATTAATGATAAATTATGAAATCCTAATAAAATGCATATGGTTACTTGTTAAGTTACGTCAATGTATAGAGAAATATATTCATTTATATTTTTCAGATATTTAGTTTAGTAAAGTGTTTTCCTTAGAAAACCAACACCTACGGTGTTACCTTCTCGCAATGGAAGGAAAAAATTACAAAAGATCGGTCCTAGAAGCAGTACATTCCATCTTACTACACTGATCCCGACGTTGAAGGTAAGGCTTTCATAGTACCCGCAAGTGACCTGCCATTAAGCAATTGTCCCTCGGGGTCTGTAGTCACTTTTGCAGGTCTCTAAAACCACTACTAATCTAATTTCTTTAAGAAGTATCCACTCATGGTGTGAGCAACTTGGAAATGAAAAACTCCCACATACAGTACTCGAGATCACCTTGTTAACTATCAAATCCAATCACCAATCATTGTAGAAATGCCGACTCCATAAGTTTATTGTGGCTTGAACTGCTAAATTTTAAAATATTTGACTGTTAAGCAAAGTTCAAATTTCGAGAGAAGTACAGATTTCTTTAGGAGTACGAACGGCTAGATGATGAGTCCCAATAGGCATAGAACATAGTGTTTTCAACTGATTGTCTTAAAACACCAAATACATCAGTAAGTAAATCATCATCAACACAGAACTTGGCAAGTATGTACGTTAGCCTATAGCGAATTATCATCGAGATAATTCCTTAGGCTTCGCATATCAATCGTCCTGATAACCGTTATTAAATAAATTCCAATGGTGTGCGCATTTAAGAAGGCAACACGAAGCGCCGACCACAGTTTACCGTTGAATAGCACAGATCATTGAGCCACAAGTACATCAAGTGAATTCGAGCACAAGTGCTAATGCGGGCGAATTCTCAGGTGAATAAAGAATCGAATGAATTAATAAGATTCTAGCACATATATGTAGGAAAGCGAATGATGCATCGAGCAATTTAAGCAATTAACATTTAAGCTAGAAAGAGGGATATGTACGTAAGCTGTCACATGCGATTACGTATATACTTTCACACAGACGTGATAATAATAATAATACCAAGAAATCAAACTGTTACTATTCGAATAGCACTATCTGTTATTTAAATGAAGGACTTGGCAAAACTAAACGTAAACAAAGGTGTAACAGAGGCGCTATAAGCCCCAATGGCAATACCATGATGAGTATCTGAAATAGAAACTGGGTTAGAGGTGATCTTAACGACCTGTGAGCTTAACCTCAGAGCTCAAATAAAAACTACGTGAGTTTGGTCATATACAGCCTTTCTGTAAGCACTAAAAACATATTATCTGTTTTCAAATATCACATGAATAACTTTTACGAGATAAAAATCGATGGGATCAACTGGATAAATATAAACAATGGTAACATCAACAGTAGTACGATCCGACATATCAAATAGTTGATGCTGATTATTCCCACAAACACTGACAAAGATAGTAAATGATAAAAGATACACAAGATTATCCATATTACTCAATAAATGATATAACGCTATAGTCTATAACACGATTATTTCATAATTATGTTAAGAGGAAGAAAGCGAATCCACACTAAAAAGCAAAACAATTTACCCAAATTATTTCAATTCCTGATTCAGCGATAACTCCAAGTAATCGTTTAACTGGTTCTTTTAATTTAGCATCTTCACCATTGGCTAATTTCCAAGCATTTCGCGCCCATCGTTGACCCCATTCTGTTGCACAGTTTTGAGCGAATTTACTATCAGTAACTATTCCCAAATGAGTAATACCACCAATGTGTGCCTGTTTAATTGCACATATCACCGCCTAATTTTAAAAAAGGCATTTTTTTAATTATAAATTTTTATTTTGGTCAATGTGCATTAAATATATGAGTAATGCAACTCGGAAAGCACTACGGATATAACTACAAAACTAAGTTATGATCTAATAGCATTAATATTGTTACTACCTCTACTATTCTGCGATTTGTCCTGAAAGTTTAATTTCGCTGTGCTAATGGAGTATGGCAACTTGAACCGATGTACATGGGTGCCAGGTTCCAGTTCCATGTTGCATTTGACTGACCGACTGAGGTTATGAACCAAAAATATAAGACAGCTAAAAGTCAGTCAGTTAGTCATAAGCAACGTAGAATTTGGCACATGTGGGGATCACTTCAAGTTGCTACACCGTATCACAAAAGCGGCATGAAACTGCCAAAACAAAAAGCAGAGCAGCAAAAGTAGTAACATCAGTAATAGAAAAAAAACTAGATATACGCAATGTGATTCGAGAAGAATCAGTGGAATAAAATGTATAAAACAATTATAAAAGTCGATATGTAGAGTAAAGCAAAAAGTGAATGCATCTATCTTAGTGCGAACGTTCTCTGAGCTATGTCACCCAACATCTCCAACCACTAGATACAATAATCATGCGCATCCCAACCAGGTAGTTTGCCCCTAATAACACGACTCAGTTCAACAGTCAACGAATTCATGAACTGATGTTACATTTTTAGTTGACTACTTTTAGCATTAACTCTGCCTGAAGTCCCTCCGGGGACTACTGCCGGTCCCAAGCCCGGATAAAGGAAGAGGGTTGGGCATGGTGTTAGCGTCCCCATCCCGTAGAAAACTAACTCGCTAAAAAACGCTAACCAGAAAAAATATTCAAACCACTTAAACTTTGCCCCGGGAGTCAGAAAGTCCTCATTTAGAAGAACTATGACGCCTCATGATGAAAGCCGAATTCCTTCGGAAGCCACGAGGCCGATGCTCCTTCTGACAACCAGAGCAACCATTTATTTAGGTACATGGAATGTTCGTACAATGTGGGACACCGCGAGAGCCTTCCAAATTGCTTCAGAAATGAGAAGATACATCCTAGAGGTACTTGGGATCAGTGAAACACATTGGACACAAGTTGGACAACAACGACTAATTTCAGGAGAACTCCTGTTATACTCCGGCCATGAAGAAGAAAATGCACCACATACACAAGGAGTTGCATTGATGCTGTCCAAACAAGCACAAAAGGCACTTATAGGATGGGAATCTCATGGACCAAGGATCATCAAAGCTTCCTTCAAAACAAAGAAAGAGGACATTTCAATGAACACCAACGATTACAATGAAGACGCTAAAGATTAACTCTACAATAGGCTGCAGTCAATCATCGAGAAGTGCCCAACAAAGGACCTGACCATTCTGATGGAAGATTTCAATGCTAAGGTTGGAACGGACAACACTGGATATGAAGACATCATGGGACGAAACGGACTGGGAGAAAGGAACGAAAATGGTGAGAGATTTGCAAATCTATGTGCCTTCAATAAGCTGGTCATAGGCGGCACCATATTCCCGCATAAACGCATACACAGAACCACATGGACTTCACCGGATCACTCTACACAAAACCAAATCAACCATATTTGCATCAACAAAACGTTCAGGAGGACTATAGAGGACGTGAGAACCAAGAGAGGAGCTGATATAGCATCAGATCATCACTTGCTGGTTGCCAAGATGAAGTTGAAACTGAAGAAACACTGGACAACGGGGCGGACAATATCACAAAAGTTCAATACGGCCTTTCTTCAGGATACTGACAAACTCAACAAATTCAAGATAGACCTCAGCAACAAGTTCCAGGCCTTTCATGATCTACTCAATGGAGAAGGAACTACTGTGGAGAGCAACTGGAAAGGGATAAAAGAGGCAATCACTTCAACATGTCATGAGGTCCTGGGCCACAAGAAGCACCATTACAAGGAATGGATCACTGTTGATACACTGGATAAGATTAAAGAAAGAAGGAACAAGAAGGCAGCAATCAATACCAGTCGAACAAGAGCAGAAAAAGTCAAGGCACAAGCTGAATACACAGAAGTAAACAAACAAGTGAAGAGGAGCATCAGAACCGACAAACGTAAATATGTGGAAGATTTAGCAACGACGGCGGAAAAGGCTGCAAGAGAAGGAAACATGAGACATTTGTATGACACGACAAAGAAACTCTCTGGAAATCGCCGCAAACCAGAACGACCAGTGAAAAGCAAGGAAGGCAAGGTAATCACCAACATTGAAGAGCAACAAAACAGGTGGGTAGAACTTCAAAGAACTCTTGAATCGACCAGCTCCACTGAACCCACCCAACATCGAAGCAGCACCCACGGACCTCCTAATCAATGTTGGCCCACCAACAATTGAAGAAATCAGCATGGCCATCAGACAAATCAAGAGTGGCAAAGCAGCAGGACCGGACAACATTCCAGCAAAGGCACTAAAAGCAGACTTAGTGACAACTGCAAGGATACTCCACATTCTCTTCAATAAGATTTTGGATGAGGAACAAGTACCAAAAGACTGGAAAGAAGGACTCCTGATCAAAATACCGAAGAAAGGCGATCTCAGCAAGTGTGATAACTACGGGGGCATCACTCTTCTCTCAATACCGGGAAAAGTCTTCAACAGGGTATTGTTAAACAGGATGAAGGACTGTGTAGACGCTCAGCTTCGAGACCAACAGGCAGGATTCCGTAGGGATAGATCGTGTACAGACCAAATCGCAACTCTACGAATCATTGTGGAACAATCAATTGAATGGAATTCATCACTCTACATCAACTTCATTGACTACGAAAAGGCATTTGATAGCGTGGACAGAACAACACCATGGAAACTTCTTCGACACTACGGCGTGCCTCAGAAGATAGTCAATATCACACGGAATTCCTATGATGGATTAAACTGCAAAATTATGCATGGAGGACAGTTGACAAAGTCGTTCAAAGTGAAGACCGGTGTTAGGCAAGGTTGCTTACTCTCACCGTTTCTCTTTCTCGTGGTGATCAACTGGATCATGAAGACGTCAACATCTGAAGGGAAACACGGGATACAATGGACATCTAGGATGCAGTTGGACGATCTAGACTTCGCAGATGATCTGGCTTTTCTATCCCAAACGCAACAACAGATGCAGGAGAAGACGAACAGTGTGGCAGCAGCCTCAGCAGCAGTAGGTCTCAATATACACAAATGGAAAAGCAGGATTCTCCGATACAACACAGCATGCACCAATCCAATCACAATTGACGGAGAAGATTTGGAGAATGTAAACACCTTTACATATCTGGACAGAATCATTGATGAACAAGGTGATTCTGATGCAAATGTGAATGCGCGGATCGGCAAAGCAAGAGCAGCATATTTACAACTGAAGAACATTTGGAACTCAAAACAACTGTCAAACAACACCAAGGTCAGGATTTTCAATACAAATGTCAAGACAGTTCTACTGTATGGGGCAGATACCTGGAGAACTACGAAAGCCATCATCCAGAAAATACAGGTGTTTATTAACAGTTGTCTACGCAAAATACTTCAGATCCGTTGGCCGGACACTATTAGCAACAACGTACTGTGGGAGAGAACAAACCAGATCCCAGCGGAGGAAGAAATCAGGAAGAAGCGCTGGAAGTGGATAGAACACACATTGAAAAAAGCACCCAACTGCGGCACAAGGCAAGCCCTCACATGGAATCCTCAAGGCCAACGGAAAAGAGGAAGACCAAAGAACACATTACGCCGGGAAATGGAAATAGACATGAGAAAAATGAGCAAGAATTGGATGAAACTAGAAAAGAAGGCCCAGGACAGAGAGGGTTGGAGAATGCTGGTCGGCGGCCTATGCTCGATTGGGAGTAACAGGCGTAAGTAAGTAACCTTTAGCATTCTTCAAACCTAACCCTACACCACCCACTATCATGAGTCGAAGTAGGTAGTGATTGTGCATGTGTTTTAATCACCTCAGTTGATGAAAATTCACTACCTCACCAGTCCATTTTAAATGCCCAACTTAAACATGAAGTTTCGCAATACTCTCACACGGCCACGCGTATACAGCCTCTGCCAAGGATTTCCTACTCATTGCATTCTCGTGACGGGGGTGTTATTTACGAAAATGAGAGGACGAAAAGCGAATGTCCGGCGCTTTAACCGGATTCCAAATCAATGGTGCACATTGGCTGCAGTATACTGAGGGAACAAATGGCGTATGAACCAATCGTTGGTCACCGGCTACCATGGGACTGCATCTCCTTACGATGCTCCACTGCCTTGTGGGTTAGACCTTTAGGTCAAAGGCTCGGGGAGGGACCCCCTAAGAAAACTACCTGCTTCGGTTTGGGCACCCGGGCAGTATCACAGTCCACACACAAACGATGAACTCTATGTCTATGGCAACTACTTTTCTCGCTCCGAAAAACAATCAATCGATTCAAATAATTATCATTACTATTATTGTCATTATTTATACTATTATTATTACTATTATTGTCGTTATTATTATTATTATTGTTATTATTATTATTTTCCACATTACTCACCCTCTTTCATACTTATACAGCGGCTCGTCTTTGGTGGAAATTCGACTGTATCTAAACGTTCTCGAGTCACTGTCCGGTTGAAAGTTGTATGTTACCATCGAATATGAGTACTGAAGCAGTTTTTCTGAAACCACGTGCGTCATTCAAACTGGCTGCCTTCAACGTTCGCACACTTATGCAGGTCGGACAACAAATAGGGCTGACTATGTCTTTAGAAAGTCTTAATATCGATGATTGCTGTCTGTCCGAGACCCGTATTCAAGACTCTGGTGAAGTACTACAAATTCGCTCTACATCTGTTACTTCAAAAAGCTTGTTTTACGTGCGCTTATCCGGGGACCCTGTGGCATCTTCGTCTGATCTTGCAGGCGTTGGTGTCGCACTAAGCGCTAGAGCTGAGGCAGCACTAGTCGATTGGATCCGCATTAACAGTCGG